CTCAGGCCACTTTCACTTCCAGAAATACTGCAAGCGCTAAATGCAAAGGACACACAATGCAGCGTAATTCACACATCAATCCTGAAATTGTCCAATCCAGCATCACAGAGGTCGATCGCGACCATGTCTTAGTATTCAAAGGGGGGAGGGGGGAATTTTCAAAGAGCACACTCAAGAACTGCACGAAGCCTCCAATTACGAACTTGTTTAAATCCTGACCAAGCCAATTGCTACTCAGAACATTCGAATTGAGTTACTACCTCGGATGCGGTATCTTCAACAAACAAAAGTACCTCTCGCGCGGTGACAAAACATTCAATACACAGACGCGCGGAGAGTGCTGACTCAAAACTGAAAAAAACTAAATTCAAGAATCTTTCCAAGGCCGATGTCTTGGTCCCCTTAATTCCTAACTAATTGAGATATCACTCGCTCTGATGCGAGCTCAGAACAAGTATAACGTCCGCGGAGTCGGCGGTTGCCTTGCCATCCGACTTCCGATCTAAATCTAACCTACGCAAAACGGCCGCCAATTCCAACTTCAAGTTTGACATTGTCTCGTACGAACTTGTAAGAAACGCATCTAACTTCCTAGCAACTGACGCTAGCCACTAACACTACACGCTATCATTGCAGTCGCACGGCGCTCCAGATCTCGTAACTGCAACCACTTTTGCGTCTCGACCTGCCATAATACAAAATCACGCAAACACCGGTTCACCTTCTTGGTCAGAGCGTCGTTCGTCTGCTCTGCTAACTGTCAGTTCTTCTCTTCAGCTTCTGATAGTTTCACCTCCATCTCCCATAATTGCTCCTCAGCTTGCGAACTTTGAGACCTCAACTCATTGCACTGGGCATCTAGCTTTTCTATAAACTCCTGATCGGCAATCTTAGCAGCTTCGCACTCTGCCAGATCTTTCGTCTTTGCTGCCAACTTGGCTGCATGCTTCTGTTCCTTCCTCTCTAAAGTTGCCGTCAATTCGTCTACTCTTTGTGACTCTGCGTTGAAGGCGGTCCGAGACGCTTCCAGCCTATCCCGGAGATCCACTGTCGCACACCTAGCGACCTCAATGTCCTCACGAAGATCCTCACAAGTCTTTTCCGAATACCTCCACAGCTCAACTTCCTCATCGAATCTTTTTTGAAGTACCTCGTACTTCGCCTCTGTGTCCTATAATTGCCGTTCCTTCGCTGCTGTTGCAAAAGTTGCTACCACCTTTGCCCGCGTCCTATTACGCACTAGCTCCACGTAAGATACGTTGTTGATGGTTACTGCATGCTTCTCACGCTTGTTGTCGAGATACTGGAGTAACGGGATCACCTACCCACACAGCACATCCGCAGCATTGAGTACTTGTGACTGTATCTCCTCCGCCAAATGATCCTCGCCCGTTTCTAATGTGACTGTCCTGGTCGACATCCGTGGTGACACCACCTTCTGTGGTGCAGCTGTCTCTCCTACTACGTCTTCTACTATCCTATCAGCGACTTTCTCCAGGTCTACTTCCGTGTCCAATGACACTTTCAATACTTTGGTTGGCTTTTCCAAAGGAACCCTCATCCTAATACTAGTCGAAGCAACTTGATTCCGTCCTGGAGTTACTTCTTCCATCATGATAACCTTACCTTTCTCTTTCCTTGTGGCCCGGCGTGACACTAATGGTGTAGGGCTTACCGCAGAAGTCTGAAGTTCCTTTGCCATTGACACTTCCTTCTCCCTTCCAACAATCTCTTCATTCAACTCTGTTCCCGCTTCCAGGTTGGGTCGTCTTCGCGATGCAGCAGCCCTACTCTCCGTGCTGTTGTGCGCTTCTAGTATTTACTGTCTTGCTTTCATCTTTGTACTAGCTTGAGCATTGGGCAATCTAAGCTTGATGGGAACTGTCCTGCGTACATGTTCTTCAGTCACAAAGGCCTCTGGAGTCTTACTTCTCTTCCGTGGCCGTTCTTCCTGTCTGTTCCTGGATCAATCTGTTCTTCGCGAAGGCGAATCAATCTGCTCGTCCTCTAGATCCGTATTGACCTCATTGGCACTTACAACCTTTTCTCCTTCTTGCGCGTGAGTTGGCATTGGAGACTCCCTCCTCTCTCCAGAAGTTAACAATCCCATACTCCTATAGAAATTAATCAAGAACAGGAACAGGTAATCCGTTCCTTCGGATTATGACCTCATCGGCCTCCGAAGGCTGAGCTTTTCTTCTGAAGATCCTTCGTACTTCCTATTTCCACTTAGCATCTATAGTAAAAAGTCTTATTCTCTTTTAAACTAATTTTTACTACCTCAAAAGTTAAAACTTGCATGGATTTTACTTCCTAACTACTCTATTTCTGAAAAAACAAAAAAACTGCACTACCACAGTGTGGGTTGACGGTCATGTGGCAGTGGCCTTAGACTGAGCTCTCAGATTAAATGTAATTAAGAACTCTCGGATTAGATGTAAACAAACACTAGTGATTGACTCATGGGTATGAGTTGGGTCTGGAGTCATGGGTAATGGGTATGGAATAGTTGCCATGGATGGGTACAGTTGACCCACTCATGGGTATGGGTTGGATATGGGTAAAGTTTTGAAGCTCAATGCATGACTATGATGTGCAAGCAAGCAACAAATTATGCTAAACCTAAAGTTTGATAGAAACCAAAAACATCGGCTCAATCATTCATATTTAATGTTCGGCAAGACGTCAAATTATCTCTTGAACATATCCAAGCACCAGATTAAGATATAATTCATCTTTGTTTTTTGTGCAAGAAAAAAAATGGTTTCATTTCACAATGTAAGAGTGATCAAGAAGTGGCAATATTTAGAATTTCTGATTCCTGTAATTCTTGTTCTGTATTATCTCCCTCATTCATGTGCAAGCAAGTGACATATTCTAATAAATGTAGAATTTCAATAAACCAAACGCATCCAATGACTCATTCAATTCTGATGTTTCGCAAGACGTTAAACTATCTCTTGAACATACTCTAGCATCAGATTGGAATACAATTCATCTTTGTCTTTAATCAAATGCCTTCATGTCACATGATGAGAAGGCACAATATCTGTAATTCTTAATTCTTGTACTCCTTGTTTGGTATTATTTGTTGTATCTCTCTCATCCACGTGCAAGCATGCGGCAGATCTTATTTATGAACGTAAAGTTTGATATAAACCAAAGGCGTCCGCTGAATTCAATTGTAATGTTTAGCAAGACAACAAGATATATCTTGAACATACTCGAGCAAAAAAGTGAGATACAATTCATCTTAAATGAAAAAAAAGCAATGCTTTCATGCCACAATGTTAGCATCATCGAGAAGTCTCAATATTTGGAATTCTTGATTCTTGTACCTCTTCTTTTGTATTATATACCGTATTTCCTCATCCATGTGTTTGAGCACAAAGAGGTTCCAATAAAACAAAAAAGTCAATTTTTTAATTGTTATTAAACGCACCCAAAAAGAAAAAATTATCATGAAGTCATATGTATATCAACTGATTATGCATTAACATTATTATAGTGAGCACATGGTTGAAATAGTCTAAAATCAACCATTTGAATCTCTATTAACTACTGACAAAAATTGTGATTACTCTTGATGAGGCATGCGCTGATGTAATCAGCATTAACAAAAATTTAAATATCTTTCATATTTGAATTTTATTTCTGCCCACATGTGTATGACTTGTTGTTTACATCTATCTCCTGTAATCTATCTTTTGAATTTATATGATGAAAAATATTCTCCAGATCAAGGCATCTACGGTGTAGATGCCTGATCACCCTTTAGCTAGATATTCATTTTAGCTTTACTAAGCTCGTTCGTTTTAAAAAGATTCTGGAGAGACAAGAAAAATGAAGCAAAGATTGAGAAAGACTACGTACATCACAAATCACACATGATTGCATTTAACCAATTCATGCATGATTGGGTCCATTTCACTATATCTAAGGTCCTGGTCGCTGGAAACCACATCTGCGGACAAAACTCCATCAACTTCATCTGTCCCGTGACTAATATGAAAGTCGATGATTTCATTGCTCTCTACAAACGATATTCTTATGCTACCAATGGAATCCTACAGGTTTACACTTTCGTCTTTTTTTTGGGCTGGATAAATTATCTTCTCCCTACACTCGATAATTGGACAATACAATTGCTTTATAATGTTGGATACAGATCATATTATAGAGACTAATTAGTAGAGACTGAAGAGCATTTTGCTCTTCGGAAAAGTATGTTTCTACTTATCTATGGACACAAATAAATAATACACTTCTGGTGAACTATAGCATGCATATCTCGAAACAAACTATGTTGTAGCATGTTAAGTTCGAATAGTCCACGCAATGCTCACGTAGAAAGTTTCGTACAAAGTGATTACGAATGTCATCCTATTGATAACAAAGAAAAACTCTCAAGTCTTCCTCCAAAACAGAATTTAAAGTCTTACGATAAGAAGTATGAACATAGGGAAACAACCAGAATCAATCCATAGTGGATGCTCTTCCAGTGTTGCATCTCCTCGTAATAATTTAACATAACCTAACCTCTCGAAAAGTCACACAAATGCTGCCAACTGACATCCGAACGATAAGCAAGAACGTGTTGGTTCATGATCAGTTCAATTATCGTCCTCATGTGCTTACCTCCCATCACCCTTAGGAACAATCAAAAAGAGAAAATTCATAGGAAAATTTGACACTAACGAATGAATAAATTATCACAGGAAATACTTGATAACTAGTTGAAACCGTCGTAGGCTACATTCAACATTTATACCCACATACACATCCTTAAACACAAAAGTGATTTACAAATTCATCATGAAGTGGTAGTTTGTTTTTCTGCCATTCACTTTCCATTCATAATTGTTCGGTTCAATCCTGAAGTCTTACAAGAAATTGGTGTCGAGTGTGAAGCTAAATCTAGTCCTTCACCGTCGACTATAGGCTCGTGAGATCATCGTGTGATAGTGAGAATGAACCTCGTTATATGACATTGCGAATCATTGGGTCTGCAAGATCGAGGCAACGATCGTCGAGAAGCTCTGTCGAGGCGCAGCACGTGGCACCTACAGAGCGAGAGAAGTCTCGCTGTCTCGCGGTGCTTCGCTCGAGACTCTCGCTCAATTTAAGGTCGCTGCTGGGCCAAGCTCATAGCACTGCGCATGCACGAGCGGCAGCAGAACGAGGCTTGTGGCGGTGACGGTGGCGCTAGAGCAGGGCGGGAGGCGCCAGCTTGTGGCTTCACGATACGCGCAAAATGTTCCAATGGTGCTTCACTCTGACTGCCGCAATTCAGAGTTTCGGGGTGCAAACGATCTCGGCTTTTGCCCGCCAAAATGACCGGAGAGGTAAACCTCAATTGCAAATGCCGAGTGATGCTTTTTGTTGCGGTTCCAAGACAAATCGTCGTGCATTGAGTCGCTTTGATGCTTTGTGCAATACGGTCTTTCCTCGAATCGAATTCCAGTTCTTGCTGCTTGAGATGGAATTAGCGACAAAAGATTGGTTCATCAAACGGAACCTCTTTCGATCGTCTTCTAATGTCTGGAATTTGTTCCCTTTGGGATCAAGTGTGGAAACAATGTTCGCCTCTGTACCTTTTGTTTCTAGAGAATCGACATTTAAATGTACCAGTCTCTTAATTATTTGGTTAGAAATTGTCAAGCTTTGGTATATTCCGCGAAGATTTACCTTTATCAACCTATCGCTGTCGTGATTCGTCCTCTCCTTCAAAACAATGATCTGCGGGCACTAACTATTACATTATGGTGGATTCGTGGTTTTTAGATTCGTGGATGTTTTGGCTCTCAAATAATAAGCACGGTGCAAAAAAAAATCGCAGAGTGGGTAACCTCAGAAGAGTCGTCAATGTGAAAGCGTCAGTGAGAGCCATTGCTGCCTCTTATGTATCTATCGCGGTTAATCTTCAAATAGTGGCCTCAAGGTGACAGTTGTTGGTAATGCAGGTACTCCAAGGCTCTCCTACACAGCTCCGGTTTATCCGAGCATCCAGCCTCAAAGGACACCAGCGCTTACAGGATTCCTCGGGCATTTGCTGATCGCCCAAAGTCATGCACGAGTTGCTTTCGCTGAAGCCCCGTCCTCGACATCGATGTCAACAATGCCAACCGAGGAGTCGGAGGGAGTCGAGAAGGAGGTCGTGGAGCCCGTGACGGGCATCAAATTTGCCAAGAGCACCAACGCCCCTGGAGCCTCCAAGGAGCTGGTGCTCGCCGGAGCAGGTGTGCGAATTAAGAAGGTGTTTGCCGCTGTGAAAGTGAAGGTTTACGCCGTCGGCTTGTACGTGGATCCCTCAGCGGTTTCTTCTTTGCAGGCATGGAAATCGAAGGGCACAAAAGAGATTGAGAAGGACGAGAGTTTCTCCAAGACGCTGATCGATCTCCCTGTGGAGAAGTCTATCAGAATTGTGTTGGCACGAGACGTCGAAGGAGCCCAATTCTGGGGTGCTCTGGGCGATGCCCTAGCGCCACGGCTTAAGGCACTCGGAGCAGGAGCTGCTGGAGAACAAGCTCTCAACACTTTCGGTGATGTGTTTAAAAACAGGCCTCTCAAGGACAAAACTGTAGTTTTTCTGACCTGGACACAACCGTCCACACTTCACGTATCCATTGCTCCGGAAGGAGGATCTCCTTCTGCTCCTGATGCTTCCATAGAATCCGCAGCCTTGCTCTCAAGCTTGTATGATGTCTACCTAGGGAAGGATCCCGTTTCTCCCTCCGCAAAGGCTTCAATAGCTGAAGGGATTCTCTCCCTTGCTTAACTTTATAATAAAAACAAAAACCTTCTTTCGACATTAGCTTTGCAAGCAGGCCATGCAACGAGGATGGCATAAAACAGAGTACGTGAGTATGTTGATGGACCTCATTCGGATGCTGATTATCTCACTTGTGGCATGTTGATCTATGGACCTCCTAGCGATGCTTTCCCACATGCAGCCTTGAGATCTTGGGTGTCTCCATGAGAAACTAGATGAGCTGATTTATATTTCATGCACGACTTCACGGTTTCTCAGCAGATCTTGACGTTCTCAGGCAGCCAAGCAAGTTCCGTAGATCCAAAAATTAAGACCGAACAATCTCATCAATTTGTCCACTAAAACCTTCAACTTCTCATGTACCATATTTACCTCAGCGCCGCGGAGCGACCACTACTTTCCTTCCCGTTCCTTACTTTTCCTACCTCAGCTAGCATAACGAGGGAAAATAGGACCAAAAGTGACCGAGGCCATAATGTTGTTCAATTTCTTGCATGATAAAACAGACATCACCATCCATTGTGACCCACTACTGCTTTCGACGCTCCCCACGTAATGGGGAATATGTAAAACAAACTGCTACAGAATGTGGCAGATGAAGACTAGCAAGAAAAAAAAACATCCATATCCAAGACGTGCATAACAACCCACAGAGATTGAGACATCAGCCACGATGTATATATGAAGGAGGAAAAAATATTGAGGTCAATTGGACCGGAAGAAATGGCACCCTTATTGCGACTTGATTTCGTTCTCTACTTCTCTAACATGAGGGTACTCAGATGGAGCACTCCACAATCCCCATAACAAAGTAAGGTGGCAGACTAATAGAGTTACCGACGACGCACTGTTTGATGGATAAATATTCCAGCAGATTTCGATAACGACAAACAGAAAAAGCCTGCACACACAAGAGTTGAGAAAATTTTGAGTTCTGCTATGATGGGATAGCGTAGAATAAACAGATTGGCAGTTAACCACTACGAAGACATGATCATCATTCACCTCCTATCTCTTCCTCGAGATCCCACCTTCCATGGTTTCACATATCTTGCATCATCAGAGGAATATAACTCCAACAGTAGATATGGTCTATGGTCTTTGGAAGTTATACATCGGAACAACCCTAGAACAGATGGATATTGACTTACATACAAACCAATCACCGTTGCTTCATATATCTCCTCCAAAGTAACGAAAGTACGAAAGCAATGGATATAACCGCCAGTAATAATTTCCATATTTTCCTGTATGATAGGGTTTGCTGGTAAGGTGCCACTCACCGTAAGATTGTTGGGTAAGACGTTTTCCACAACAGATAAGGTAGTGTGTAGAAATACCTGTTCACCACTCAGAATCAGAATACAATGCAGAAGAGGTATCTCATCATAAAGGAAATTCATGAAATGATCCCCAGAACATCTTTCACCGCATATTCAGACAAAGAACAAATTGACCTCTAACGCGAACTTATGAAGATATATTCCTGAGCTCCTCTAACAATATTCACGTTTTCTCTATCATAAGACAAATGGCTATAACCTAGAGCGAGTTTTGTAGTTAGTCTTACCATGAATAAAATTGGTAGTGTAAAGAACGAGCACAAACTATCCCGATAAAGTTTCCTGTAAAAAGCAAAGTTACAATGTCTAGACAAAGTGTTAAGGAATTACACATCTTAAGTGACAATCGTTCTATCGAAAGAACCTTCCACTAATTTCAATATATTTCTCAGAAAGAACTCGTCTACTGTGGTCACTGATATAAACAGATAACAGTAGAGGGAGACTCCTAGGTCACATAGTGTGAATTTGATAAATTTCCTCACCATGTTAAGACCATGCAACTAAAGACAGCATGTAAGGTATATTTTTGTCCGATTGTATAGATAAATCACCGATGAACCAAGGGAGGACTTTGGAGAGTATGTGCTACTTGTACTCCTGATTTTGAGTGAAACAAAGCACCATACAGAGAGCAAAGAGGATACGATCTGCAGTCAGCTTTTTCTTTCGGCTCTTCTTAACCTTCTGTTTGAGGGCTCCAGATTTTTCATGCCTGCATTTCAACATGCTCAGCTATGCATGTCAATGCCATGTTCCTGAAAGCTAGCACAATATGCTTTCATTGTCATGGACAGAGATTCACATCAATTAACACAGACAATTCTAATTCGATTCAGCTACCTACACGAAGAAGCTATCTTCCTTCTAGAAACCAACGATGATTGGAATATGGTAACGCATTCAAAGTAGTTGGACATTGACTTACTTGCACCATTTGTATCTGGCGAAGAGAAATAGAAGAACCAAATGCATAGCCAGTAAGGCAATTGCAAATGGCTTGGAAACGAACCACCGTTCAGGAACAAATTTGAAGTTCACAGACCTGACAAATGCACAGGAGTTGAACAAAAAGATCTCAGGATTTCTATTACTACTAAGTGTCATAGTTCAATCTAATCTATCCATTTATAGCAGTCACCAAACTGTAGTCATCAGTATGTGACTGTCATAGCCTGATAGAGTCAAAGGGACATCACGTACGGGCTGCGCGTCGTTAGTACGAAGGAAATGAGTAGTAGAAAATGAGGAGATGGGGGGAGACAAAGAAAGTAACCATTTAGTATACGAGGAAAAAGTAACAAACGGGAGAGAGAACTACTTTCAAGTAAACAGGGTCTCTCTTGTAGTGGGAGTTTTTCCCATAGACAATAACACTTTGAGGTTTCCAAGTATCACAGAAGAAACCCTTAACAATTATGAAAGGCCAGATAAACACGGCTCATGAATGCGGCTAAATCAGATTTACTGCATCACTAACACCACTCACCAAAAATGAATGAAAACTCGTCCGAGGTTGAAAGAGCGGGAGATGTATGCTAAAGGATACTCCAGCAAAAATGGAAATCCCACCACAAGCTGCACAGCAACTTTTCACTGAACGTTAGACACGTAACATACGCCGCAAACATGCTAAGAGATCGTAGTCTGTTCAGACCATACGCCGGATTGACTTGTCGGCTTAACATTTGAAGCTAGAGTCGTTGAGTAAAGTTGCTGTTGTAGATGGGTAGACTTTCTATGCCAAAAACAACCGACATACAACCTGCCTTTCTACCTGCCAAGTATACGAGGCGCTCAGACGAATAACACGGTAATACGTATGAAGTACCTGAACAAAGGCAGCACATGATATAGAAGAGATAACTCCGCCAATCGGTAAGCTCTGTAAAACAGTTCCAACTCAGTGGCAGCTTTTCCGGCAGTCATAAGCTTGAATTTGTAAAAAGTAGAGCCAAAGACATGACTGAACAAGAACGAAAACCTACGACTGGAGTATCAAAAAGTTTGGAAGCTAGTGCCTTCGTGAACATCACATTTTTTTATGAAACTAAGCAAGGCACCACAATCTTGCTTCCATGTTTTTACTCAAATTGTATCCATAGAGAGCATCGACTATATCAAGGGCGAGTGGCGAACGACCTCCTCGTACCTTAAGCAGCAACAGCAGCAAAGGGGGAGCATAGAGGAGAACATTCATCTTCACTGAGACTGCAATACTGCGACGATTGTTTTCTCAGATCCGGGTTCTCTCCATACTAAAAGTTGCAGTACCCTACATTTGTACCTCTCTACCTTAAGCTGAACTACATAGCCAAGTGTCCCGTTCATGTTCCGTGACGATCAGTACATGGAAAGATGAACTATAACGAGATTGATCTGAAGACTGTTATCTTAAATCAAAATATTTCTTCAAAGTCCAATGATCATTAAACGACACGAGCTGCTTGCATGACAGAGAAATTTACCCACCTGAAGACTGTCAGGCCAAGATGCCATCTATGCTTCAGGAATAGAATAAGTGAAGCGTGTGTGAGAGTGGTTGCAATACAGTCATTGAACAGGCGCAGCACAAAAATAGAGTGGATTCTCTTCGATAGCATTAGTAAAGTGAGCCCCCACAGCGGTACCTGAATACAACAAACAGAATAAGTCAGTCTAAGCAGCACAAGAGTATACCTGTCCACTGCACATATCTTCAGTGCTCATCACAGTATTTGGACCTGTATAAAGTTCCAGCTTTATGAAGAGGAAGCAGCAAATATAAAGAACTTTGTCATTTATGGACGGCCTAGCAGTGGCAAGAAACAAACATCATAGTTTCAAAGACAGAACAAAAAGCTCAACGTGACCAGAAGTGTCCTTACCACCTCAGTCCTGGTGTATATCCATAAAACAAGCCCCAGGTTGATCACGTACAACAGGCCGAAGAGAATCTGCGCACGGAACCACATTAATAAAGCAGGCAAACACACATCTTGCCTGTAAATATTAAAATTTACAGGCAAGAGCTTGATCAACTACAGAACCTTCTATGACTATTTAACACCGACCCATTGATCACATGAAAAAAAAAAGACGGAGGGCAAGTGTACAGTGACCAAAGGCTTTACAAATTAAAGCCCATTCATCCCGCATTAGTTGCCCTGATTTAAGTTGAAGGCAAGAAGTACTACATTAGATTCTATATACTTGAAAAACACTCTGGATTACCCAAATCATAACTGTAGAGAAGTATTTGTTTCTTATTTAGAAAATGAGAGCAGCTGAAGGTTACCTGAGCGGGGAACACTGCACCGGCAGTTATGTACTGTATTCCCGAGTAAAAATAGAGAAATCCGGCAGGATAAACCAAGGGTCCAGTGTCCCCTTCGAGCTCCTCATAATTTCTTTCTCCAGAGAGAAAACCTGTGACCTGAAGAACTTAGTACACCGGACATCATGAGGTGAATAAAACTGCAATCTGAACCTTTCATTCAGAAGAGGGCTTTGTTTGTATCACTGAAGAATACCCGTTCCTAGGACTTTCATGACTAACCACCATGTCATCTGGCAAAGAATCAGCAACCGTGAACTCTGGAGACAGACTATATATGTATTTAAACAGTAAGTGAAGTCCTCAAAACTTGGGAATAGCAATTAGCTCTGTGATGCTGGTGAGGTTCAAGCACAATGTACATTGTCCTCACAATTCTCAGAGTCAATCTCGAACACGATATGGAAAACTTATGCCTTGCAATGAGTTCGGACCACTCTTTTTAGACCTGTTAACTTCCAGTCAAATAATCATACTCTTCCAAATCCGCGCAATTAGTCATGACACAGTTCAAATTCTAAATCGGGCAATCATCTTCTATTATTTTCATCTGGCATATGGAGGGAGAAAAATAGTCTCACCTGTGACATATACGCATCCCAATCTATTTTGGTGTCTGCATGCAAACCAATTATGAGTATTAGTACCATCATTTTATTTGACTCCATATATAACACGCTCAAACAAAATCGATACTTCACAAAGACTGCAAGAAAAATTCAAAATTCTGATTCTGAACACAGAATTAGATCTCGACCTCGGAGCATCACAACAGAAACAAATGGCACCTAGAATACTCAGAATTAAGGAAAAATACAAGCTTGAAGAGTTTAAAAAACTAGTCGAACGGATAATTTGGAGACGTACATGGGACGCGGTAGATCACGAGAGCAACGAGAATAGAATCGAGCGCCAAAATCACAGCTCCGGCATAAAATCTGGGCGATCTTGCCGTCCCCATTTTCAGAATCGTCTGTCTGTCACGAAGCAGTAAAACCCTGTCGTGCTATATGTCGTCAATTGTGCAGCCCTTCGAATTCCATCCCGTTTGCATCAAGAACGGATTCGACAGGATCAGCCGAACGAGCAAAAAACGCAGACCCAGACCTCCTTTGCACAAATCGTCCGTCGTCCAAACCGGACCGAGCGCGTGAAAGATGCAGGCCGGCCCAGGGCCCACGGTCCAGACAGAGTCTCACCGGTACGGTCTCCGTCTCTGATTGCTGAGCTCGAAGACGCCAGCCTCGGAGACGTCCTCCTCCCCCGTCCACGACAGACCCGAAAAAGCTCGTTTCTCACTAAGTCTGCTCTTCTGGTTTCAGGTTTTTTCCCCTTCGTTCGTCTTATTTGCCATTTATTCGAGTCCCAGACACTTCTGCTACTCACAATATAATTCTAAACCAGCTCATAGATTTATCTGATCAAGAAATCTGTGGTTTCTTTGTTCAGGATATTATCGTTTTGTCATGCGTCTCTCTGTACTTTGTTAGACATACATCATAACCTAAGCTTTGCACCACTTTTACACTTCACTTGATGACTCTACACATGCTATGTCCAGAGCATGCATTTGCTCCAACTCAAGCCATGGTGTGTGTTTATGGTATATCGGTAATTCGTCTAAACAACTGTTTATTAGCACAGAGATTATGATTATCACAAGGTACTGCTTTTGACTACGTTTGATCCAACTCATATACCTGGCTTCTAGTCGTGTACTTTTCTTATGACTGATTGAATAAGGACATAACGTCCACAGTTTGTACGCTGCTTGTCCTTAAGTGAAGCACAATATAACCACACACACGATGTCGTTTGATGATTGGTATATGTCTTTGGTCAAGGAAGAGATATATCTTCCTTGAGCAAAGACATTTGGTCAGATATGGATGGAAGACCTATATCAAGAGCATCAATGTAACCTGACGTATACACTTCGTGAAATAAGTTCTCTCACCGACTGGGTTATTATACATATTACACTGGAGGTAAGTCCAATAAAGGTTCTTAGTTTACTTTGGAATACACTGCCTTAGGACAATGCATTAAGGTACACCATTAAAGACATGGACAATTAAAATTCATCATATTTTTTTTCTCTAGATTTTAACTATACAAATATGAATCAAAGTCTTGAGCGAGGTATGACAAAGCACATCATGGAGTTGTTAAAAGCTACCTGTAATATATTGATAAATTAGTCAAATAATCAGACAACTCAATTTTGTTCTCCTTTCTTACATCTTTCCAAGACGGTTCGTGAATGTCTGAGTTCACGACGAATTTACAATAGCTACAAGCGGGATAATCAACATACATAGTAATCCTCAGCGTTTGAGTTCACACCATTTGCAAAGAGTCTAACCAGTGCTCCAAATTGTGAGATCATCATCCTTTGTCCTTGACACTAGGGGTCCGCTCCCACAACTCGCCATTCACAGAGTTCCGTCACTGTTCTCCTGTCCTTAGAGAAGACAAACACTCTCATCTTTGAGAAGTAGAAACGGGACAGAAGCTGTTACGATCAAGTCTCGAGGCCTTACTGGATAAATGATTGCTAAAACGCACTACTGACTATATTGAGCCACTGTGTGAAAGTGTTGACACCTGCTTCTGTAGAAGTCACTCGTGACATTATAACTCTTCCACTTTCGGCCTTTGATCCATATGCTTGTTAACACCAAATTGAATGCAGCCGAGTTAAGATCATGTAGAAAGGTCTGCTGTAAGATTGTTCCGCTGGATAGTGGTAAAAGTTCTACATTTTACCCTTTTCGAGGTTTTGCATTCGTCTGTACATCCTTGTCAAATTTCCGGGAATGATTACACAGGCGCGATACTGTAGACAAACTGAAGTAATTCCCCCTTGACTATGGGCAACACAGTACGTGACAATTGCTAGAGTTTGACCTTCCTCACTGGATATCCTATTGATTGTTTTCCGTCTTGAATTAGGATCCTTGCTCAGTGAGCTTGCTCCTTGTCCACCGATCCAATGGTAAGCTTCAGATTAGAGGGTTCAAAAACTTCCTCTAAGGTGAAATTAATCACGCTCGTTAAACACGGTAACAACTATTTGGGATCTCAGCACAAGCATTGGACAGCATTTGCCCCACCATCAAAGCTCGAATGGAGTCTTATGTCCAACCCTGTCTAGCCATACGAATGTAGCGAGGATCACAGCATCAGCTGCTACTTATTCCATCATGGAGAGCTCCCAAAAATTCTGCAAACCAAAAGGGCTTTAGCTACCATTGTATCCAATCAACTAAATGATATACATTCTCACAGCCTCGGTGTACAGCTTTATTTAGAGGCTATGACGGAGTAAAATTTTAAGCTTTCTTCTCTCGAGAACTTCGCTTTGAGCTATCAGACTTTCATACTCTCATTCCTACACCTCTCTTCGCTCCACCTAATTAAACTGTTTTCTTCTTGATCTGGTAGACAGAACTATCCAAGCTCATCCTACAAGCCCGAGCTTGGTTGAGCAAGACCCGACCGACAATGGTCCGGTCACATCAGAATCTAATTTTCTAAATCTAACATTCATACACTGTGTGACGCTCCCAACTTACAGTTACATGTAGAATCCTACAACTGGGGACTTGAACCGAATATAACTATATCTCTTCGATACCCAGTAGGTGGCCACCTTTCGTGGGTCATTTGACGTTTCTTCTGTGGACAAGGTCTACCTAAACAAAATGACCAAGACGTGATAGCATAATTCTGAAGGATCTGTTAGCGCTGCACACTGTACTTGCCCCCACCATTAGAGATTCGGTGATAAGGATCACACTACAATAAGATAGAAATATCTCTACTGAACACCTAATGTGCACCATTTGTAGCTTGCGATCCGTCCAAATAATCCAGTTTCAAGTTACAAAGAAGTTTGGATGATCTTAGCTTCCCTTTCTTAGAGCGTAACTGGACAACACGGATGCCGCTGCGTATCTCATTTACGGGAAGACATGCTTGTCCCACAAAGTCATCAGGGTTCATTCGGTCATACTCCCATACTTCGAATCTCAAGATCGCAATGTCGGGAACTGCAATCCGTGATATGTCACAGGGGTTAGATTCATGGTTTTCCCAATACTAAAAGACCAAGATAATATAGCCTATTAACATACTTCACACATTAAAAGGCATTAACAGTCGAGGGTTCAACACTGATGAAAAGTTCGAGAACATTTACCTCTAATAGGAAACTCGAACTGCTCGTCTTCCCAGTGAGGTTCCTTATTTGATGTAGCAACTTGAGTCTTTTGCTTCAGGGCATCGGGAGGTATGCCGTGTACAGCAACCTGAGAGGAAGTTCAAATTTAAGTGATCGACATTTACAACAACAAACATTGAATGTACGCACCAGAAAAACATATTTATCTACTGCTGATCGTTGACATCATAAATATCTTGCAAGTATGCCAGTCGACGTTAGAATCAGGAAATAGGCAGAGCAATTCCTGACCTTAACATAGAAATCCGGTTTCTTGAAGTAATCAAAATGGCTATGCCAGTGTGTTCCCAGTAGTACCGTTACCTGCATCAGTATATTGAACACTAAATTAGAAAAGTAAACTTTCTTAAAAATTTAAACCAGTCAATAACTACAGGCATTCTCAAACCTCTAAAGTCCAGACATTGACGACAGTCCACTTTCTTACTACTGCTGCTGACTTGAAGACAGGCAAAAGACATCACTCATATTTATCTCTTCCTCAATGATCTACTAGATCTATAATCCATAATCTTCAGATCATGACAGACAATTACTGGCTAGAACACTCCCCTCAGTCTACGAAGACGTGACCCGTACACGCAGCAAAATGGAGGGGCATAGATGTGAACGTCCAGAGCCAGAGAGAGAAATAAAAGCGAAAAGAGATGTGCATATAGACCTTCAGATTAAGTTTGGGTGACAAATTTAAGATTTGTTCATAGTCCAGGCTGCTTTCAGGCAAAAGAACTTCAGGTTTCCTCACGTAACCACAAGCTCCATTGGCAAGGAAAAATCCTTGTCCAATCCAAGAAGGTCGGTCTTTTCCTTGCAAGTTGAGGGCGGCCATCTGAAACCCATGACTCCATGCATACATAGGGTCCGCATTTGAGGAGTCGAAGCGTAGACCAAAGGGATACATCCTCCCCATATTCATTCTTGTATACCTGCAATGATTTCAGGTATTTATTTAGATTATCCAATAGACGTGCAGGGCAAATCTAGCCGGAGAAATCTTTAGTAAGACGGCACTTCCAAAATCCAATGATCCTAATATGACAAGCACGACTTAAACCCATTCCTGAACTGAATGTAAACATATTCTGGAAGCTTTAATTGACTTACTCTATCACAGATGCAGGATGAGTTTTGATGAAGTTCTTCAACTGTGGCTCGCTGAGATTCGCCATAATAGCTCTGTCTCCTGGTTTAAGCGGTCCACCTTTCACTTGCTTTTCCTTCATCTCTGAAGGTTTCTCACAGTGGATGTATAACAATTCCTCAAATTCTTGAGTAAGAGGAATTTCAGGGTCTGGAGTGGCTGCTTCGTATGCTTTGGCAGCCTTTTCCAAAGCCTTCTTGTCAACTTTCAGCCGCCCGGGTACTTTCCGATTTTTGGGATCCATTTCTGGTGAACTGTCCCCTCTTTGAAGAATGGTCTCAGCTGTTTCTACAGCACCCTCTGGATCTTCTTCAAGCTGTCCAAGAAGAGTAGGAGGTTGTGCAATCATTTCACGTCGTAAGTGTTTCCGAAGTATAACCATACCCAGATTTTTACATATGCTACTTAAAAGCATCATTCACAGTCAGCTGAAGACTCTCCGTGTGGCAACTAGGATCCAAAAATGGAGGGTCACAACAATCGACAAGTTAGACAGTTCTAACTAGTTGACTTGCTTCATGAACTTTACCTGCTCTTCGACAGGTTCCCGTAGTGGTTTATCAGAAATAATAATCTTTCCTTTCAAGGCCTCAGGCGACAAGAACTCAAGAGGGGGCCGCTCTTCTGGACTAGGAATGAAGAGTAGCTCTCCAAGTATATTCTTTATGATCTGTAAAACACCGTGCCAAAGAGCACGTGAGGAGCATATCAGAATCATAACTACCAGGAGACTACTATAACAACACTTTGTCGTCTATATATGCGGCGGACGTCATATTAACCTAGGATGAACCAAACTGCATGTAATTAGAAAAAATGATATCAATACTTCACGCTCTACCTTAGCTGCTTGAATTTGGAGTTCGCCTGGCAAATGATTCTCAATTGTGATAATCACCGGATAGTCTGATGCTACGAACGCATTTTCTTTGATGGCTTTGATGCAGGCATCAAACTTAACTGGTTTGGTCAAAGTACTGAGACAACATCACCGTCAAGTTGGCAAGTGTGTTAACACCTAAACTCGAAGGTAACAAATACAGAAAAACAAAAATACTCAAATCCTCCTAGTGCTGCGAGCAGAAAATAATCAGCACATCGCCGTTGCTGGCCAATCCAGGATGAGTCAAAGTTATTTGCCCTTCCGACTCAGAGTGGCAATGAGAGCTGAAAAGACTGTAGCCATATACAGTCAGTTTCAGAACTTATGAAATGTCAACAAGGGAGAGGGAAGAAGTGATCACCGACTCCTTGAGGAAGAAAGTGACACCTGGTCTGGAGCAACACATTCTCGTGTTTTTCCGGACCAGGTGTAAATAGGAAAAGGTGGAATAGTTAGAACATATACCCTCCATGCAAAACTTTGATCTTGCCCCGACGCTCCCAGCAGTCCAATTCGATCACGCGACAACCAGTTTTAAGAGCATCAATAATTGGATGCGTGCTGGATCTTGAGGTAAGTTGGTTCCCTGTCAAGTAGGAATTGTGGCTGGTGTGCACATAATAGTGCGACAAGGGTTGAGTCATATCATGGCTCTGCAACAAGTCCGATAAAATTCAATTAGTAGGATCGTTGCAACTCAGGAATATATTGAGCATATCGGCGACCAGCGTACACAGAGAAGTCACGGTAAAAACATACATTTCATTACAGCTCAGTTTTCACCCATGAACTATTTCCTTACACGTTCTATTCTTGCTTCGATTTACTTACTGCCCTCAATCACCTACTTTTAGTTTTCTCTGCTTAGAATTTGCAGACATTTCTTAAAGGAGAAGCAAACGCAACAGCGGAACTTGCTTTGTTCCTTCTTCACGCAGAGTTGCTAATATTACTTGCCAAAGTGCTTCTATGATCTAGGGATCACAGCTGCACTGATGTTTAGGATCACATGTTACTGGTTAAGCCAGGCATAACCATTGCGGATGGTACAAAAACCACGACCAGAATAAGAACGAAAGATACGAGGTTTCAAATCCTTAAAATCGTGAAACGCTTTTATTCAATACCTTCTCGGCGCCAGATTCCTTAACTCGTATGTTCACTTTATGCAGTACTGGTTCAAGTTAGTTTTGCGACGTCTTCAGGCTCAAACGCAGACATCTTTAGCTTTTAGGAACTTGACCAAACATATATCAGCATATCTTTTGGATGAAGTGGGTCCCCACACATAAGTGTGTGGCCAAGGACATGTGACTAATATAACCGATAGGTCCAAAGCATCCTTGTCAAACTGTAGCTTTCTAGAGAACTGCGGGACCAGATGTACCCAAGCAGAGCTTTGAACGATTACGAGAATTGGGGATGACTTGTAACGCACAACTTCTGGTTCAAAACGACCATCTGGTTTATAATAAGGCCGCACCGCCTTGACGTGACCATGTTCCATTATGAGGACTGAGTTGTAATGCTGTTCTTGATGATACTCGCTAGCTTGAATAATGCAAAAGTATAATTTGCATAATTAAGAACAATGTCATGAACGAGAGTAGTACCGGTCTTGTAGAAACCGTGAAAGACCAATGAAATCCTCTCAGACAGTTCAGAGCTTACCAATTTTGTTTTCGCTCAAAAACTGGAAGCATGAATTATTCATCTACCAACGAAGATAGCATAGCAGTGCTTACTCAATAGCATTTGAAGAAAGAAGCAAACCAAAAGGTATTTGAGTTGGAATGGGAATGAACACAACGACGATCGAAGTCGTGTGTTCAAACTACGTTCGGTCATCATGGTGAGATCAAAACGCGGCAAACACGTACCTTCTCTTTCGGCTTCAGAATCGAGTTCACATCAGGACTCAGAAGAAGCTTCACAAAGCCAGCCAGATCCAGACCACCATTCGCAGTGCCTCCCTTCTTGTGGTGATGAAATAAGTTGTGAAGATGATGATCCGATCCATCTTTCAGCTTGCCCAGTAGAGCTTCGGCTTGAGCTTCGGTCATATGGTCGTCCCCTTGAGCTCTGTTCATGTAACTGATCACATCGGCAACACTCATGTACTCTTTTCCATTACAGGCCTCCGTGAACGCCTGCTTGACAACTTCTGGAGTAGATCGTACATCATGATAGTGGGGAGATTGAGGAAAACACTTGAATATTGGGGGAGCCATATTTGATAGCTGCTCCTCCTCTGTCACAGGGAAAGACAAACGCGCGTTACTTAGACATAGTACCAGCCAGGGAGAGAGGGAATCAAGAACATCGAGCAACAATCAGCGCAAAATTACCCATGAGAAATTACCCATAGTTGGGAGCCAAATTGGAAGCCAAATTACAGGAACGGTACACACTCAGGAAATACTGAAACACAAACAGATGTAAGCTGACGGGGAAGACGATTGAAAGCAAATCTAAGTATTTTTTGACAAATTTTGCTCCTTCGAGTCGATGGACAAGTACAAGCAATCTTCCGCCTTCGTTATGGACTGTCGACTCTAAACATCAAGAAATCGTATCTTGTAAATACCTTCACAATCTTTCCCCGAGAGAGAGTGGGGAAGCTTTGACTGCTGATGTCACAAAGGTTTCGTGTCCAACTACAGAATCAGCATAAATAAACGCGTCTGCTCAATACAAAAGGGAGTAGTCCTTGCTCTAAACCTGAACATGAGGACAAACTAATAGTGGCCAGAATCGAGAAACTATGATCTGGGCCAACGAGACGGCAGGTTCAGCTACATTTAAAAACGTGATAAAAGCTACGATTGCTTCGAGCTGGAAGAGAATTAGAGGTCAGAGCTAACTAGAATGGCCCAGGGGGGTATCGGAAGACGTTAGATGGAGAACGTAGTTCATGCGCAGGATCAAGCAAGAGAGAAACGGGCCCAAGGTTTGTCATAGATAGTGTCTGAATGAACTAACAGCTCACAGGCAAACCAAGGTGCGGTATTAGAAGGGGCAGGCGCTCACTAGCCAGAATGTATTGACCTTTGCCAATCCGGACGGAGAAGGAGAACTCTGAAACGACAGGAACAAACTCAGCGGACGATTTGGACGGAGTGGACAACGCTGCTAGCGCTACAAGTCACCAAGCAAGCATCTGGCATTCTGATTGGATTCTACACACACTCAGCCCACAATTGTCGGCTGCAGATTGCATCAAGCGCTCGTCGCATAGCTGCGGGATCCACAAAACCTGCTCCTCTATCTCTCCTCTCAATTTTCAAATTGTTTCCCATTCCACCATTATATTCGTCATTCTCACCTTCTTCGACAGCAACGGATTTTCTCCACGTCCGCCTTCTCTGCACTCCAACACACTGCTGAACAGAACGCCACCCCGCCCCCACCGCGGCAGTTCAAATTTCAACGCAATTGCTTCCAAACTCTCGCCACCAGTTCCGCGGCAAACTCCTCGCCTCAAGTGTTCTCCGCTCCGCCTCCTCCTGCTCCTCCACCTCCCCTCGCCTCCCCTCCTCTCCCGAGCTTCCTCGAAGATTCCCGCATCAAACAATCGCTCGACGAGCTCCCATTCACGAGGACAGACGTAAGCTCTTGATCGACCGCCCCGCGAGCTAGCGAACGAACGAACGATCCGCTCTTGGAACGCAGTTCTGAGCACTGCTGTTCGCTCGAGTCCCGAGGCAGATCCGCCTGCGCACATCCAAGTCTACGGGCCGCGGCTGCCGCTGCCTCTTGCAACGTTCCTGTTCGTTCTTGCAGCGACTTGGCCAGCACTGCGCAGAGGAGCGGACTGGAGTGGCAGCGGCGCGGCGCGGGCTGGGATGGATGGCGCGGGCGCGCGGGCCAGCAGGAGAGGCGCGGAACAGCGAGACGGACAGACAGACAGACGGAGACACAGGCGGGACAGAAGGGAACAGCTCCGACAGCACTGCGGGCCGTGACGACCTGGCCCTCGAATTCGGCAACCCCCGGGCGTCTCACGTACATGCACGTCCGTCCGTCCGTCCGTCAGAGGCCAGCTCGTGCTCGGGAACCGGCCCACCACCTCACCAGCGGATGATGATCGGCACCTGAATATTTTTAGGACCCTCGGGTCCACACCGTCCGATGCCGCTCGTGGCGCCGTAGATCTGCGAAGAGAGTGTGGTACTCGACTGTTTTCCTGCTCCGGCAGCAGCCTCGGCGATTCAGTCCCTCCCGGCGGCAAATGATTGCTTCTGTCAACTTTGTGCCAACATCCCCGGCGCTCCCACGTCCCGAGAAGTGCTTTCCGGTCGAAGTGTGATATTTAGCATTTCCACAAATGCATTACTGTAATACTGTATATACCTTCTGAAAGGCGACCTGTTTATATCTCTTAATTTCCCGACACTCTCAAATTCCCGACAAACCGCGAAACGTCCCGGTAATCAGATTAGATCATCGGCGTCATACCGGCGCGAGCACTTCACATGCTCCACATCCTCTGTGCACCGTTGGATTTAAATTGAACGGCCCAGATGAAGGCTGTAAAAGTTCATGGTGGCAGGTCGTTATGAGGTATTCTTTCTGGCAGTTTGGCCATCGTACCTTCGAATCCACGCGTCGCCGGCTTAATCTTCTGACCACTTTCCAAAGTGTGTTTGACCGCGTTGCCTAGACGTAGGGGAGGAATTTCAGTCCAATTCGACCTTCCATGCAGGATCTTCTCAGGAGTCGCTGGACACAAATAGCTCTCGGAATAACTTTCCACATTCAGAAAGTCCCGATTTTTTGGGACTAATTTTTAGATATTAAAAGCTGTACATTCAAGGTCAATGTATCTTATGTTTCAACTTTATTTGCTCTTCTCAGTCAATGCCAAGTCTGAAAGCCCTCCATCTTGTCAGCCAATGATGGACAGTCAAGTACGTAGCGGCTTCCACGGCTTCCCAGGTAATGAAGGATGCTGTAGAAAGGAATTTGGGGTGGATGGGAATGATGTAAAGAAGGATACCATAGCTAAAAAAGCATACTGACATTTAATTCAATTAAACCTTATCCCAAGTACCGGTTTTACATTACGCAATTAACAAAACCACGTAAACCGCAATCACTCAGACAAAACTTTGATTTGCCTTGAATTCCACTCTTCATCATGGTACACGACGATTTGCTTTTCGTAAATAGGAGATGCGGATAAAAGATTTCGCCCAATGAGCAAAGATTGGAGGACTACCCATCGTGGGCAAGAGGCCAAAAATTATCATGAGAATACATGTTTGTTCGCGAAGAGAAAGAGTCGAGCTCACAGTAAAGGAGATTATGGTGCAGTAAGTTTCAATATTGCGGAGATCTTCCTTCCTAGCGCTCGATGTCGACTAGGTCCAGTAATTCTAGCCTATGGATGTCTGCTATAAACCTTGCAACGTCTAATTCCATGAAACTAAGAAACGACACAAGATGGTGGGTTCTGGAGATATATATATATCTACAGTATATACAATCCACCCTTGACCTATGAGGCTAAAGGCAGTGACTTGTTAGATGCGAAAGCAGTGCTCTTCCACATTGAAATTGTGCGTCGTTCAACAATCTTCAATATTCCCATGGACTTTCGAGTCATGTTACATGGCTTCAGTTGACTCAAAGCGTGGGGATTGTACGAGTGGATGAGATTAGATTAGGATTGGTCGAGTGCAAACTTTGGGACAAAGTTTGCACTCGACCAGAAAAAATAATAAACAAATATTGAACACGTTTGAATATAATTAATTGAAGGCTGGTGGGTTTCAAATGAAGTAATCTCGCGACTGCTTTGTTTGATAAATATAAAGGTATATTTGTCGTGTACTGATGTCCTTTTAGCTAGAATGCTTGAAAAGCCGTTTAATAAAAGTTGAAAACATACCACCGACATCGCAAACATAAATATCTTTATTTATTTCGAGTCCACCAATCAATCCGGTGACCCTTAGAAATACACGGCAGCCTCGTGGTTCCTAACGCGTATCCCCTCAGCGTTGAAATTCTATCCATCCCGTGTTCTCCCTATCGACCGGTTGGCTTAAAATGGAATGACTGGGTGTACTGATAGCCTTTTTTTTTTCCTTTTTTTTTTCGGAGAAAGAAATCAGAGCATAGTTCAGCATATCATGAGTTGCAATTAATTCTCTCGAATTATGGACAATCTAGTGAGTGTGCATAGCATCATATAGCTCACTAGAAATCCTTACAGTAGATGTGTGTTGCAACTGGAACGTAGTAGTACGTGAAGTATGATTACAAGCAGAGGTGTACCACGGTCACGCATGCAAGCGTCAACATTTTGATTTTTTCCCCGGTTTGTTAGAGTTGTTGACGTGTGTGAGCTACCCTAACCATATCTCCACAACTGTGCATGTTTTTAAATAAAAAATACGGGAAAAAAACGGAACACGGAAAATAGATTTCAAAGAAATATTTTAACTACATTTAGAAGATGTTTAATAAAGATGTGACAAGAGCTGAACGTGTTGTTTGTAGGAGACAAATTTCATGAGAATAACACGAGTGATTTCTTACAGCACCTCTACAAGATGCTTCGTCGAGTGTGATTTATCAACGACTTAAGTGCATGAAATCTGAATTTACAATCAATTTTTAGCATAATAAATGAATTTACGCATTATATCTATCAAATCACTTCCCAAGGTACGACGGAAGTAACAAATCATGCATGGATGGGGTACATCTGCCGTCCCACTGCCGTGTACGGGAGGGAGACCTTGATCAGCTAGGAACTCAAGTTATTAGGACCTACCATTCTGAAAAGGTCAATCCTCGAGCAGAACTATTGTTCTCATAATCGTCGCAGCGGCGTGTGAATCCTGGATGACGCATGTTTCACTTCTCTATTTGAAGTTTCATTCTTCTAGATCCAAGAGTGCTACGAATTTCACTAAATGCGTGGTAAACAGTCCCTTTGACCTGATTATTTAGCAAGTAACTTATGTCAGTTATGCTACCATATATCATGCATGTCACCTGCATAGACATGGAGAATGGATGAAAATTTGGAGAACAATGATCACATAGTAACAAGGGAATTCACTATTCAAATTTAATTTCAAGATCGTAGTGATAACTTTTTAGCCACCTGTGTATGCTTGCATCTCCTGAATGCAACAAAAGGCTGTTGGTTGAAAAGTTGAGACTGTTAACCTTACTATGATGCACCACAAGTGGTGCAATACAAGTTTTGGAAAGTCGTCGGAAAAGTTAGTGATATGTTTAGATAAGGATAATTGAGTCAAAAAATTTGGTATGCATCTTATCTAATCTGCAAATGTTATGATAAAGTACCCTTTCTCTTAAGATTTGGAAAAAAAGCATTATAATTGAGATATTTCTTTAAGAACGCCATGTTTTTTCCCTATCTCTATTACAATTTTGTGTGCCATAAAATAATTTTCAAAATTTAATGCTATAAATTAATGATACAAGGCAATCACAGTTACCCAAGGGTGTAGATAAACCTGTTGAATTCATGAACATCAAAACTTGTTACAAACCAGTACATCTTATTATTTGTTCCATATTATCGGGTCCCCCAGTACCACAACGAAGGCACACCATGACGCAACATACACGTCGACTGACAGGTGGACCTCCCTCCGTCCAAGGTCCAGCTCACGGGCCACTTCGGATATTTTCAGCAACGTCCGTGTCGACCGGACAGCGTTTACAAACTGCAGCATGTTGACGAGATCTTTAGGGACCTACAGGCCCTACGTACCGCGGAACTGACCTTCAGATTTCTCGTCTTCTTTATCGTGGCCTGGGATCTTGTTGACTGTTCGTCTGGTCATTTCATACTTTCATACCTTCCTTGCAGGTTGTCTCCTTCTGAAAAGCTTGTCATAGTGACAGCAATGTCTCCAATTGCCATCTGAGTGTTGCTGTCTTATTATGTTTGAAGAATGCTGAGAAAGACATTCACCGCAGCCGCTTCGTGGCATTTGGCCTTTAGTACCCAACACGAAGTCTCCAGATTATACCAATCTTTTCCTGATTTTTTTTTCGTTCTCAGATTTTTATGGCTAAAGCTTTGGAAAAATGTTTATGAAAGATGACGACCTCAAGATTGGGTTTGATCAAATAAGTTCTTACATTGTGAAAATTTGTTTGCAAATGAAAGAACGCATCAAGTGGTACGTGAAAGAAAGAACAAAACAACATGAGACTATAACTCAATACTATCCCAATGCAGAACAAATCCAACTTCACCTACGAAGGATTCCTTGAAAAGCGATTGAAGAATATTTATAATAATCATATATACAATAAAATAAAGAGACTGAAACTTACCACTCATCATCGTAGTCATTCTCTCGCAACCTATATGCTGAAGTTGGTGTACAATATCTTGAACTCGATGAACTCTCTGAGTATTGCATATTCTTCTAATTGAAGACACCTATTGTTATGGCTTCTCTAATCTCATCTATTTTCCTTTTTCAGGTGTTCATTTTGGTCACTAAGCTAGTAAATGGAATCCAAGAACGGCACCTTATATTTTTACAGAAAGAGAGAATTATGGATAATCAATCGCCCTTAGATTGTGTCCAGTGTAATGCTGATAACCTCCACCAAGTATGAGGCATCCAGTCACTATATCCTTAGGAGAATCGGAGGTAGCTGTAGTGAGCACTCCATATATATGTGTTGGAAAAGTAAAAGATGGACCTATGTGAAACCTCTTAGCTGATAACAAAAGAATGACTTATTTGAATATGGTTTGATGAAACTTGAGATTGGCCCCCAACCGGAGAATATGATGATGTCAACAACTGCATGTGACCATGTCATACACAGGTAAGAAGCCTAAAACACCGCTGCGTGTCTTATTTTGATGCGCCTAGGTAGTAAATCTGCTTTAATAAGTGATGAAGTCAATAAAGAATAAGGTACAATCGACGAATGGGAACCGATCGAATACACAGTCTTGACCCATTATATTAAGGCCTTAATTCCATCGGTCAAGAATGTTGCGTGCAAGTGTCTAAGTACAGAGGCTAGCTGTACAGGACTCGAGAAAATATTATACAGTAGTACAGTACACATCCTTTACCCGACAAGTTTCCCCGGTTGACTAATCGTCTTTGTTATTTACGACTAGCCTCATTCCGAGCCGTGGGCTCATATATTTGTTGGAAGGAAGGTCTTAGTATGACTAGTGATGATAATCAAAAAAGATCCATGACTTGTGGTTATTATCTAGCGTCCAGCGGTGTTCATCGGCCACTGTGCGGGTCTACATTCTTCGTCCGTAGTCAGAAAACTCCATGCCATTTGCTGTCTGCCGCCATGTCAGCGTATGGTGAGGTCACATCGGTCGACCATGCGTCGAAACTCCAAGCCTCTACATTTGGTGTACTGTACAACTTTCAACCATGCATAGTGATTTCAAACCATCAACCAAGCCATCTTCCGACATAAGCGGTCTTCCTATTTATGCCCCCAGATGACACCAGATCATGACATGAAGGCATGCAAGAATCACCCTTCCATGTTTTATCATGCCGGTAGACTTTCGTTTCAAAGTCTCCGTAAAAGGAACCTTAAGTCAGTCGAAAAGTAGAACCGACTCAGACAGTGGCGGCACCTTACTTCTTCTATGGCGTGTTTAATTTTGCATTTTTCAGATGTTCCTCCTTGTCACACATATGATATAACTCACTCTTCCTTGTACGTCACCAGCTTGACATTCAAGCCTTGTGCGAGTTGCCAACAGTAATCACTGTGACTTAACAGTTATAACCAAGATGTTAGAAACTCCGAACGATAACTTATCTCCTTATATTCTAGACCTTGAGTTTATAACACGCCTAAGCTCTTGTATTGATGGGTAAATACTGCCCATGAGATGTAAAGGCTCAGGTTGATAAGTCAGAGATAAGACTGCCTCTGATATCCCCGTACCGTTTCCAAGCGGGCTCTGTGACACAAGCACAATATAAACACGTGAAGTGTTTTCTGAAAAAAGAGGTTCCATGAAAGGTTCTCACCAACCAACAACTGAAACCTTGAATGTAGGATTCTTCCACGAAGTGCACAGCCTCAGTCTGCTCCATATGCTTTAACAGGAAAGTACTGTGCCAACAGAAACGATGATTAGAGAATTATTGTAGCGGAAGGCAGAAATCCCGGAAACGATTCCTACCACTGGATAGTTTTCAGCTGCGTACGCAAGGCAGAAATCAATTGATATCTATCGGGCAAAAGGTTTCAATCTACAAGACCTCCATAATTTTGCCAAAGCGTCGCAAGATGGACTGGACTGTCACTAAAGAATTGGTTGTTGATAATAAGTAATCTCTCGAATTTGAAGCAAAGATAACATAAACTGAGGATTAAACAGCAGAGCAATGTTTTCCTCGAAAAATATAACCATGATCAGAAAACCTGTTGAAACAGTGATAAGAAAGTGGAAGTAGCCCAATCTACAACATTCCTTGGAAGAAGTTGTATACTCGACTCACCAACATAGATAGACAGTAAACTATATAGGAGCCCAAGCAAGCGAACTAACAAAAATTACCAGTTTCTCATAACTTCGATCTGTTCTACAGCTCATTGATTAGAAATAGCATTCGTTGTAGGTTAACGAAGTGAAATATTAATCATCCGAGCTGACGAAAAGCTGGCACCTCCTTTTGCAGAAGAATGACCGTAATCAGGTTGATCTATTAAAATGCGTAATTTGATCAAGTTCCTGAAACCATACAAAAAAAACGTCCTATTTACTGTCTCGACCGAAAGCCCTAGTTTCAAAAACTTTATCTTCTCCCTATTGGACAATGTACAAAGAACTGAACACGGTGCATAACCTTTAATGTCCGGGTTGTTGGTATCCAAGTACATTTTGATGGAACCGGCGACCCCAAAACCTGGAATTATCGGTATCGGCTTTTTATGAGATCACAAGCAATCAATTATATAATTGCAAGTAGCTGACAAACACTGATGGAACAGCGTAAATACCTCGACTGATGCTAAGTGACACCTATCTGGTCAGTACCCTCCAGAAAGGTACATTGCTCATCAATTCATGAGATATGTTTCGATTACACGTGCTACCCTGGATCTTCTAAAAAACCAAGTGATGATACCTCCAGATGGCGAGCGATTCTTGGGCCGAGAACGAAGCGGCGGAGACTTTCACTATGTCTGCTAAGAATGCCTGTGGCTTCTAGAGGTTGACCTCGAACACTTTGAAAAAGCTATCTGAGGCAGAATAATGGGCCTTGACCAATCGGGGATTCTGTAGAGGCAACTAATATACAAGTCAACGGCCTAGCTGCCGATGTAACCAAGTCGATGCAGAAAAATAGCAATGAGGAGCATCACAATGGCTAATACGAGACCGGGCTTCCCCAACATCCAATCTTTAGCCTTTCTAGCTTTATCAGTGACTTTTTGAGCTCGTTCTGCCCACCGCATCTGTTCCATGTCAAAAAAAAAGGTTTCTTTTAGCAAACCACAACCCTTATTATAACACCACAATTGAAAATCAAGAAGTATCTGAGTGATGCTTGACTGCTACTCACTTCAAGCATGGATAAATCAGCTGTCTCTATCGTACGTGCTTGAGGATAGAAAAGTAGAAAGGATAAAACTTACAATTTTGTCAAGATCGTCCGGACTCAAATTTGCCATGGCTTGCTGTGCCTGCGCTGCTTCCTCGGGTGAAAGCTTAATCCCCATTTGCTGACTCATACTTGCCATGGTTTCAGGAGACATACTTTTCACCATGGACGCCATCATCTGGGGAACGAACGTCAACTATTAACGAACAAATTATACAGACCACAGATTCCAATGAGAATCCTAAGCGAGACCACCAGAACAGAAAAGCTCTTGGTCAAATATGACATTTGTGAAAAAGGCACAATGCTGCCACTGCAGTCCACTTCAGAACAGTTTTGAGAATCCTTCAAAAAGTCAGATATCTTCTGCTTTAAACAGCATATGCCACTGTAGGTCAGACTTCCTCTTCGAAACTTTAAGATCCACGAACGTAGCATAATTCCTACTGCTCACCTAAAGAACATGGAGCACAAAGAAGCTCATATGGCCTAATTGAAGTTAAGTCTTATCTTTCGGCCTCACTGGACATTACATTCCCTTGAAGAATCAAACTAGGCATCCAGACAAGAAGTGAGACAAGAGTTTTCGGAAAGATATAGCGAGTTTAGGACCAGACGAAAACCACCATTCTCAACTCACCATGGTCACTCACTACTCAATTTTTAAAATATGGGTTTGCCCTATCCACTTTTACATAGCATGAGCGCATCTGAAAATGGTGGTCTGATCCATCAAATACCTGCTTCATCGCTGGGTCCTTCATTTGATTCCGCATTTGTTCTTGCATTTCAGGGCTGAAGTCAGCCATGCTCGGCATGCCAGCACCAGGACTCGTTCCACCTGATCGGTGATTCATGGAAGTGCTGGTCACATTCCCTGTGACCAATCCAGAAGCAGGTGAACTTGAACTAGTTGAAGATGGGGTGGTATTCGACTGTCTCGTTCCACCAGTAGACTCCGTTCTAGTAGGTCCTCCATTCGGGGCTTGAAACTGACTAGCCAAACCTACCATTCTCTCTAGATCATCCGGTGACATGTTTTTCATCATATCTGCTGCCATCTTGGCCATGTCCGGGGTCATACCACCTCCACTCATTGCAGCAATAGATTCAGGATCTAAAGTCGACATCATAGACTGCATACTCCTGCCAGTGATTTCAGGTTTGAACGAAATTCGTTAAGCCATTAGACTAAATGGAGAAGAGAGGAAGTTTCCTGTAAATTCTCGTCGCGCTGTGTTATCCATTCCATAAGTGCTCCAACAACTTAGACTAAACATTATATATAATCCACAAAACCAAGCGAAATTACCTTAACATTTCCGGATTTTGAGCAATCGTGTTCAAACTCTCTCCCATGACATGTTCGTTTGGAACTGGAAGCCTCCCATTGGCACCTGTCGATGAGTGCTCGGCATTTCTATCACTGGTCGGGAAGGACCTTGAACTATCTTGCGTACTTGACGAAAACATTTCAGCCTCGTCTTCCGTGATTTCCTCAATGATAGGACCTGGGCATGGTGGGCACACAAGTAAGTCAGAAAAAAGGAGAAAGGGGAGAGAGAGCAAATGGAGAAAGTAACTCATCATAAAAAGGTCTTCTGTAGCAGCTCGGAAGTTCAGGCTGCGATCACTAAGAACGGCAAAGGAAACCATAAGGGTACTCAGCGAACAGTGAGGACAAAGGTAACATCCAGAAACATGTAGGAAGCTTTATGTAGGCATCCATAAGAATGAACAACCTATTTTCCGTTGCACATGCCACAGAACAAGAAGATTTGAGGTTATCTGCAACTGAGACCAGAAAAAGCAACATCTATATCTTACCATCTGTGAGTATCTCTTCTTGCCCTCCCTCCTTCTCCAGGTCTTCTCGTGCTTGTCTAACAATCAAAACAATAATTTAGATCAAGAAGTGAACATGTGCTTGTCTAACAATCAAAACAATAATTTAGATCAAGAAGTGAACATGCATTTCCCAAGCGTCTCAAGGAAAAAACTAAGGTTAAAAAAGTGAGCAAACAAGGAGAAGATGCGGATCAATTCCGGGTCTAAAAGGGAGAATAGTTGTAAAGACAATTTACTAGGAGTTCGGTGAGCAACAGAAAGGTGGAGCATACAAAACATAGCCCTACTACATGAACTCACTAGTTGAAACCACTAACAAATTGCATCATAGTCCAGCCGGGACAATACAGCATAGGCTTTGACCATTGAAGATTCTGGCTTCAAAAACACTGTATCGGGAAGAAACTCTGATTGAAACTCTATTGCATTAAAAAATCAGTGAGGAAAATCTCTACCGTGATTAGGAGGTAATCTAAGGTGCATACCTTAGGACTTCTGCGATTGTCTCATCATCAGGCGAAAGTTGAGCGGCAGTTCGCAGATCTGTGACAGCCAACTGCAGTGAAAACAGTGAGTATTGGAGCAGACGAACATGAGGTTCCAGAAACAGCCATCATGAGGGCTATTTTAGCTACGCACAACACAACTGAAATTATAGGAAACTAAGACACGCATAGTTAAGTTATTTCCGTAAAGACCTAAGATTCCATGCCAAATCAGTCTAAGACTTCTGAGAAAAAACAACTCCCAACACTGGGACACTGCTCATGAACCTAAGCGCCAACGAAGATAATAGTGTTCTGAGAGTTTCTCTCCAACCCGTGTACCCAGCACCTTGAGCTTACACCACAAGTAGCTACTAAATGTATCATATGTCCTTATGAAGTCAAATATGGTATCAACTAATACAAGGAAGTAGAGAAAACCTTCAAATTTCCCAACTCCTTGTAAGCTTGACCTCTACGATAAAGAGCCTTCAAATTTCGAGCATCGCCCTTCAAAATCTGGTCAACAAAATCTTCCACCTTTTATTTAGAACGGAAAATCGTAAGCTCTGACCGTGAAAACCAAAAGTGGCAAGCAAACTCAAAACAAAAGTATTCTACAAATGCAAGAAGAGATTTGAGCGAAAAGCTGCAAAAGCTGTTTCTTGTGCAACTTTTCATACCTCTGTGCCCTCATCAATGACCTCCTGATACTGTTTCGTCTTTAGATAGCACGACATAAGGTTGAGCGAACATTGAAGCTGCAAGCTCTGAGCTTCTGGCATGAAAATTCCTGTAAGATTGTTTTTTGCCTGACACATTCCGAAGACAGCTGTTCAAGATGGACGCAGTTCAAAGATAAATAATCACAAGGCAAATGTCCGTTGTGAAGCACCCTGACGTTCTGAAGGAAATTATCATCTCGACGATGAACAAGCTTAGCAGAATGACAGTTTAATACACCCCACCATAGAGAAGAAGGTAGCTACGAAAGAAATCTGAACGCTCTTGAGAGAACTATAAAACGTCTATGACAAAGGGGTCCATACTGAATCATACTGAATCATGAAACTATTGATACAATTGTAAAATTGATATGTAACAAGACAGTCTCCTAGAACTAATAGAAGTAAAATTTGAATTAGATGGCAAGACAAGTTTCTTCAAACATATGTGACAAAGTGGGTGGAAGTTTGAAGAAGCACATGGTTAAAAACAACTCCGATCCTTTCCATAACTTACCCGCAAATACTTCTCTGCAGCTTCAGTATATTTTCCGGATCCATGAAGCCAATTACCCTACAAGACCAAATAATTCAAGGTCATTCACTTGGACAACAATACTTTCTTCGTTTGATCAATACATCTTTTAAATGTTTTGTGAAAATAATGATTCATGATGACGACGCCAAAACAATAAAATACTTTGTAGAGATTTTTACCTGTCTTTTTAGGTTTAATGCTCCTTGATATTCGTATGAACGTTGAGCTTCAGTACGTGCCCTCATAGCCGCTATCTCCTCGGGAGAAGCATTCGCCATACGAGAACTAATGTCGGCTATCTGTTCAGGAGGAACATTTTTCATCTGCTCTGCTGCCATACGAAGATCCTGTGGCCTGATGTTTTTCATTCCCTCGGATGCCATTCGTAGTAACTCGGGATTGTTCATCATCTATCAATATCCACAAATGCACCTTCAGTTTGTTGCACCAAAGACCATTTCGTTGGTGCAAATCCTAGACTACAAGAACCTTAGAAGCTCGTGAGGAATAACAACAACTTTGAAAGCTAAGGATCTGAACCGTCCAGATGACTTCCGAGCCAACATGTCAAATAACCTCCAAAGTATATTTTTAATTGTCGCAAACAGAGTCAAATATAAGCTGACATACACTTGCACTAACGACTCTTGTTGTAGGATAAGTAACATGTCTTGATCTTTATATATGTTCACAGCCGAAGAAATTTAAGAAATATAAAACTGTTAGGGAAAATTCAACTGCAACAGAAGGAACTGGAGTCCTCATATCATGTACAACCTATTGAAATGCATCACATGAGTCATTTTGGTGTGGTTAGTATCGTAGTTGATGTAAGCTGAAATATATATATTCAACTTTGTATGTTTAGAAGTCAATCTTATGGAGAAATTATTGGTGGGAAGGAGACAAAGGAGACAAGTCTAAACTCTCCTACTGGAAACAAAACACCTCTGCCCAATGGAAAAGGCGTCCCTGGTACTTTACGAGACATTTTCTGGTCCATACTACGATGAAACTAGTTCACTATCGCGAATCTGCAATCTACAGACTTTTTCGACGGCAAAAAAAAAATGCAACTTCCGTGAGCGTTTACTCCATGACATTTAAGAAAATGTGATACACAGGTATGTGGAGGAATGAAGAGGACTTTGTAGGAATGTTGACCGAGAATGAGTCTCGTTGAACTAAATCAGCACGATGTTGTGCTAAGTGGTAGAACATAACTCATAGAATGTAGACAAATCGGATCATTTCAAATGTCAAATATCGACGACGGGTTAGAGTTTAATTACTGTCACCGCAAGATGGTTGGCATGATACCCTAAATCAGGGCCAAAAAGTCTTCACCGTTTACTTTTCTCTCGTAAGTATTTATTTTCTAGTCTCAATCCTTCAGATTTAGCTACAACCTTGCAGAATATCAAGAACATACTCTGCTGTCTTCAACATCTCCTTACCAAGCAGAAGCTCAATGGAAGCACAACACAACAATTGAAAACTACCATCGCAAAATTCGATGTGATAAAACTTGGATGGATCGAACTAGCAGACAAGCGAGACAACGATCACATTACAATTCCCATAAAAGAGAGTAGGAGAAGAGGGCAATGCGACCTGCAGTTGCATCTTAAGCAGATCTTCCGGCTTCATCCTGCTCATTTGCTCTTGAGCTAACCTCATCATCTCTGGATCCATGCCGCCAAACATTTTGCCAGCCCTTTTTTCAACTTTTCTCTAAGCGCGGTACCCCTTTCTTTCACTACTCAATTTTTGTAATCCGAACCTATACTTCTATTTACTAAGTTCAGCTTCTGCCCCGTCGCAACGGACCTCCGGAAACCCGACAATACAAAAGCTTCACCTCATGAAAACAAGCACTCTCAAGCATCCAGCCTACAGAGCAAAATCGTCTGCAAAGTATGCCACAGCGGCCTTGCTAAACCTCTGACTTGACAATTGGCTCTGCCGCTGTCTATCTATGAGTTTTCACGCTCTGTGTCCTCAAATTACTTCCTCTTGCTTTCTCAATCGATCCTGCCTCCGATGCGGACAACCCAATTCCTTTGGGGCCTTTCAAAGGACCTATCAATCGAGTAACAAGTCTCCGAGCCGGCTGAGAATCGATTTCTCCAGGGTTCACTTGAAGCCCCGCGCACTCTGCACAAAAGTGGTAGCAGTAAATGCGCTCTGTAGCCAATTGGTGCACTAAAGAGTGCGAAAAACAAGGGACGAAGGAACTCCGGATATTTGGAAATCGATCTCCGACAGCAATTGCTCTTAAACTCGAATCGAAACTAAATTTTATGCTGGAAAGATCGAATCGGAGGCTCCTTTGACTCCTCGAACACAGAGAAGCAAAGGAAGAATAAGAAGACCAGCGAAGATGATTTTCCCTCTGAGTGGACTTTGACCACGGAAGCTGCGCGTGAGAACTTGCACTTCACCATAGTTAATCACTCGGCATGGCACAAATACCTCAGACCTACCTTCACGCTCCTACGTGGTGGTGCCTTGTCTGTAACTCTACTGCGTAGTAAAGTCTACTGCCGTTTTTCCCAAGGTGCGAGAACCGTCTACGGTTGTCGTGGTCAGGAAAAATTCATCCTGTGATGCACACCCTGATGCATGTTGTCATTTACTGTGTACCTAACCTTGGTGACTTTAAGAACCACGAAGTAGTCAAAGTAGTCAAAGGTAGCATAGTTTGCGATATTTATCACTTGCATCGGATGGAAATTCATGCTAGAAAACTAGCATATGTTAAACTACTCAGTTGGAGATAGTATTACGTCGAGAATATTTGCTTGTCGCGAGCGAATGGATTCAAGAAGTGATTCGGTGTTGGCACGACGGACAGTGGCTAGTGGCATGCAATAAAACTTAAAGTTGGGGAGAATGCCACCTATACAATGCACACATGGATTCTTGTGATGCGACAAATTTTGAAAGCTTCTATAGCGGCAATTGTTTTTCAGGCAAAATATGTGGGTTCGGCTTCTTGAAAATAAGATAACCTCATGTATTCCTCTGAATGAAATTTAAAGCATGCACAATTACTATAACAAATTTTAAGAACAAATGATCAACAAGTAACAGATATTTAAACTAAAATGTGACAAATTTATTTAAGCTCAGTAGTTTTAATCATCTAACATTATCTTGATTTGGCATGATTTTCTAATTAATCATTAGTTACTATGCATTTTGTTACATAAATCTAGACTCATGCGGAAACAGCTCCTATATCTCCGATTATCATCGTGTTGCAACTCCTTGATTACAGGAGTGACAAGTTCTTGAAACAATGAAGTTCAAAATTTCGCATCTTCACAAGAAGCAAATGACTAAGTTCAAAAAGTAACAAAATATACTATCAAACTTTTATGACCTCCATCTGCAATGAACATCTCACGACTTTTCATTCAAGAAGTAAATGTGTATTAAAAAAAATATCACCAATTTTGAAACTTCACTTAAAGAGTTTTTAATCTTAAAGGAAACAAATAAATATATAAGGAATAAAAAGTAAGTTAGGATGGATAAATATATCTCGTTAAATTAATGTTATTTTTTTTCTAAAAAATTAATCCAATTTTTTAAATCCAAAATTTACTTATAATATTAAGTATTTTATTTTTTGTTTACCGAAATTCAAAATATTTATTATAATTTTATAAAAATATGAAGAAGAATGAGATTCAAAAAAATATAATTAAAAATAATTCAATAATAATAATTATTATTAATTATTAAATATAATTATCACTATTTAACCACACATGATAAACTGCATAAGAAAAAAAAATCACATACTATGATTGTTAATTTTCGTTGGATCAGCATATATCTAAGCTAAAAATAGAATTCAAGAAATAATGTTTGAAACTAAGCTCCATAAGTAATTAAACTGAAAGTTTCAAAGTGTCCAACATTGACTTTTATTGCATAGGAGATCCTGTGTAGCACCATGATTATTTTTTATTTGCAGTTTGAGTATACTAGGGAGTAATTGACGTCCTTACAAAAGTTTTTTTTAGTGATATTGATTTGTATAATATAAGTTTAAATATACTTATATCGCGAAACAGAAAGCTTTTATGCGCTTTGCTTAACCCACCGTTTTAATTTATTATAAATATACTTCGTCAATTGTTAGATATGTGAGGTTATGATCTTATGGAAAAGCCAACCTGAAATATTATATTTTTGAATTTCACTTTAAATTTTTTTTATATTAAAAATCTTATGCCAGACATAAGAAGTTGACAAATAAAATTTATAAAATTTACCTCAAATATTGAGCCATTCTGCACATAAACTAAGTTAAAGCTCATGAAGTTGAGATTCAGATTTTGATGCTTACTGCTTGATTTTAATAATTGTAAATCTTGAAATAACTGGATATACAATTTAGCAAGACTTCACGATCAATATATCTTTTTACTATCTCTAGTTAGTAAGATGATTCTTTTTATCATAAGAGAAAAATATACAGTAGAGGATCTGAATTACTACTAGAGTAATCTTTTATCTAGATCAATTGAATTTTGCTCAAAACTTATTCAAAGTTGCTAGATACTGATACTTTGAGATTTGTCAAATCCTATTCACAATCCCCTTCAAGTATTGTTTTAGTCAAATGATAACTTTATTGTTTGAAAAGGTTTGTTTTAAATGAGTGCTTCAATTGTTGCTAAATGCTATTACAGATATCTTACTCAGGAAAACTATATTGAAACATTGTATTCATTGTTAGTGCTAAGTTATTGTGACTCGTAAATCATCTTATGATCAAACCTACAGTCCTATATTTCTCTACAAAGATGAGTAATTGCATAGACTTGGTTTATTCATGTACATTCTCATTGACCGTGTATTAACGTGTAAATCCATATCAGGTTATTTCACATTTCATTTGTATTTATGTGATTTGATCTCCTTTCAAAAAGTAAAATTTTACAACTATGATGACGTTGTGAATGTGATAACACATGTGAATAATAATCTCACATTGAGAAGAAGGATAGTATGTCTTGCAATGGACTGGCATTGAGTCAAATCTATATTTGGTTTGAGAGTATCAAGTTATTGTTGTCAATGTGTAACCTCAAATTTATGTTTGGTGTTAGAGTGTCAAGCTATAATTGCAAAAGTGTTATTATAGATTTTACACATAACAAAATATAGAGTGTATGATCTGCATTGGCCCTAGACGAGAGGAGAGTGGAAATACTTTAGCCAAGATGTCTAGTTACAGGACTATACCCAAATGTTACTTTTATAATACTCTAGTCTTGAAGTAATATTATATATCGTAGCAAATAATGACCTCCCTAGCATTTAAAAAATGCTAGAAAGATTACGCATTAGACGATATGTATATCTTATAGGTTATTGCAAAACGTATATTATGAAATATTTGCAATTCTGTAAATAAATGTAAAATAATAATATATGATAGCTAAAAGATAACAAAATGTCATCAGTTGTTCCACATATCTACCATGGTGATAAAACCGTTAGCTATTCGTGTACATTTCATTTCTTCCTTGACGGAAGTGATGGGTTCTTAGCGTTTTCTTAGCTACGTGGCTCCTACCTCGTTAGTCGGTTGCTGGTGAGTAATGGTCAGACAAACAACGAGAAGAGCAGCTGGTTGTCCACTTGTCACGATCGAAGTCGTCCCATCGCGATGCACGAGGAGTCCCTTTTGGACAACCGCTCCGCCTGCCTCGGACCCTCGTTCCTAACCCGAGATCATCCATCTAACGATCCCCCCCTTCCGTGCTCCACGCCCAGCTGCTGGCTGCTCATCCAAAGTCTACCGCAGCACACCTCGTAGTTGCTGCCACATTTCATCGAGCATCGACCACAGCAAATGACACTGACTGGACCGACCGACCCTGGCCTGGATCAGCTCTCAGTCTCCTCCCCACTTGTCTAATTCACGTCGAGTTCCCGGAAGATAGGAGCAGGTGATTTTAGTTGGTCTGCTCTCCCCTCGCCCTCTGAATCGCCTTTTCAGGGGGACGAGGTTTCGGGTGCTAAACGGGCTTTTCGTCAGTTTTGCCCCTTCCTTGCTGGAGGATTATCGCGTGGGGAGACAGTTCATTGGTTCCGTGGATTCTGAACTGAATTTCGCGGCTGTTCCGTCTTCTGTCGTGGAGAGTGGGCGAAGGTCGAGAGAGAGAGACAAGAGGCAGAGACAAACGAGAGCGTCAATTGCGGGCTGTTTGCTGTAAGTGAGTCTCGGTGCGTCTGGTTTGGCTGCATGCATACGCGGGGCCATGTCGTAAACTCGGTCGAACTCTCGAAGCCTCCCTGACAAGGATTTTGCAGAGGAGAAAGGCTCTTTGAGAATTTTGCGGCGTCTGGACGAGACACTTGTTCTTTGCAAAGATTGCAGAGCCTTTGCAAGGTCAGTCAGCAGTTTTTCGGCAGGCAGTTCAAGGGACGTGCTCGGTTGCCACTGGTGCTCCACCTTGGCGGTGTCCGGGATCACAGCAGATTTGGATCGTGACAGTATAATCGATCGTGGCGATTTTTTGGTCAATGCAGTCTGCTGTCAGAGTGTCTAAAGCTGAACTGATTGCAGGGACGTCAAGTGGCAATTAAAGTAAACCCCGTCGGAATCGATTTTCAGACAGCGAGGAGCTTTGACTGTGATTCGATTGGCAGGTTTTGGGTAGCGCTAGAAGAAATTTGGGTTGCTCTCATCATGTACACTCGGTTGAGAAAGGACGAGGAAGTTATTTGACGAAGCCGAGAGGATTTGGTAGATTCGCAGCTGCAGAGCGTACTGTGAACTCAGAGGTTTAGGACGACAGGTGCTGGTGAATTACGCACACGCATATTATCATATTGATCGGGTGATTAGAGGTCCTGCTCTGACAAGTTGAAGCTTCAAATATTCCGATCTGTAAGGGTTCAGTGCGACGGGGCGGAATCTGGAGGTTTTAAGTGGAATTACAGGCAGTACTGGAAGGGGAACGCACTTGGAGAAAAGCTGGAACAGCTGTAGCGGCGGCATGGATTCGGTCAAGAGGATGCTAGCTCAGGAGCAAATGAGCAGGTCGAGGCCGGAGGATCTACGAAATTTGCAGCAGCAGGTCGCACTGCCCTCTTTTCCCTTTCTGATTTATGGGATTGGAATGATTTCTGTTCCCTCTGGTCTGCTAGTTCGATCCTTTTAAAAAATCTCCACTGAAATCTCGAGATGATTGGTTTACATTGTTGCATGATACTTTCATTCACCATTCTGCAACCTCAGGAGATGCTTCAGTACAACAGCATCTGCTTAGTCAGCTTGTAGCTTATTTTGAGCGGTTAAGACAAGAGATTAAGTCGCAGACGAGAGAAGAGTAAACGATGCAAATTCTTTTGTGCTTATTTAGGGTATCATGCTACTCATTCATTTCATAGACTGTCGTCGACAATGTGAATTGTATTGTCTTCGGTGTACATATCACATTGTCGTAACTATCATGGGGTAGACGCCCATGGGATTCCCTTACATCTTTCCTCCTTGCAGTCAGCAGCCAATTCCTCTGGTGAACACCCACGATAGTTGAGCACTCATTCAAATATTTGGACTCGACCCGCAAAGGTCTCTTAAGATTTGCGGGACGCTCTTTTTCTGTCTTTCATAGATTACTTCTTTGGAGTATGGGAGCTTAGTTTTGTCTGCACTACCTTTTGCCCATCCAGGATATATCCCGTGTTCGTAAGACTTACTCATCGACACAGAAAGCTGAATTGCAAACAGAAAATACTTCACAAGTGTAACCTGAACGCGTTGTCTCGTGGAAGAGTTTAATAGATTTGTGTGGGCAGAGGATCACAACGGTGAAGTTGACGTTTCCATAGTGACACATCCTGTCTCGATTTGTGATACAGCTTGTTGCAGATGCCTAAACCCGTCCAACAGGATAAGAGGCCGGAAGCATTTTATTGTTTTGTATCGTCATCATTCAACTGAGCACAACTGAGCTCAAGCGACGGTGAGCTTGAGTATTGCCGGGAACTTTCGTCGGAGGCAGGATGAAAATCTTACAGGGACTTACCGTGTCCCTTGTGCTCATCAACTTGGCGGCCATACTGGAGAAGGCAGACGAGTCCTTGCTTCCTGCCGTGTACAAGGAAGTAGGTCAGGCTTTCAATGCCAGTCCTTCTGAGCTTGGAACTTTGACTTTCATTCGAGCTCTCGTCCAGGCCATATCTTCCCCTCTGGCGGGTATACTGGCAATGCGGTATTATCGACCATCTGTCATAGGCATTGGGACTTTATTTTGGGGGTTGTCGACTGCCGCTGTTGCTGCCTCACAAACTTTCGTTCACTGCGCTTTGTCTAGAGCAATCAATGGTATCGGACTGGCTATTGTAATCCCTGCACTTCAGTCTTACATAGCAGACAGCTATCTGGAGGGCACCAGAGGAGTTGCGTTTGGATGGTTGAACCTTGTTGGGTCTGTGGGTGGAATCGGTGGCAATATGCTAGCAACAATTATGGCTGGCAACACGTATGGGGGAATATCTGGTTGGAGAGTAGCCTTCTTGTTGATGGCTGTGTGCAGTTCACTCATAGGCTGGCTTGTGCACACCCTAGTGCTTGACCCGAAGAAACCTCCCTCCAAGGTATTTAATTCGGTTCGCTCAATCAGTGGCAGAGATCGCCACCATTATGGTGAAACCAGTGAAGATGTGCCGTTGGTGGAAAGCCTTTCACGACCTAGTTCAAGTGACTCCTTATTTCGGATGCTGGAAGAAGAAACCATGGTTAAAAATCTTCATGGAGCTTGGAGGGATGCGTGGGTTGCAGTCAGGTCGGTGTTAAAGGTTCGGAGCTTTCAGATCATCGTTCTGCAAGGAATTGTGGGCTCTTTGCCCTGGACTGCTATGGTCTTCTTCACCATGTGGCTGGAGCTTATTGGTTTTGGACACAAAGGAGCTGCCAGCTTGATGGGCATTTTCTCGGGAGGTTGCGCTATTGGTGCTCTATTCGGGGGCTGGATGGGAGACATAGCGGAGAAGAAATATCCAGGATCAGGCCGCATTATGTGTGCTCAATTCAGTTCTTTCAGTGGAATCCCTTTCTCATGCATCCTCCTCCTCGTTTTACCTCAAGATCCCCAGTACTATGTGCTGTTTGCTATAACCTTTTTGTTGATGGGTTTATGTGTGAGTTGGTGTCAAGCTTGCGCAAACAATCCCATCTTTGCGGACGTGGTGCCGGAGCAAAATAGGACAATGATCTACGCATTTGATCGGGCTTTAGAAGGGTCGTTTGCGGCCATGGCCGCCCCTATAGTCGGTCTCCTTGCAGAGAATGTGTTCGGATACAGAGCACATCATGTCATTGCAGATTCCGGGTCACCGATCGAGGCTCAAGCTCTGTCACGAGGATTGTGCACAGTTATGGCAATACCGTTTGGTTTATGCTGTTTCTGCTACACCTTTTTGTACGGAACCTACCAGAGAGATAAAGACGAAGCACGGGGCCACATCCAGTACCCGAAGTTCGACAGCAGTGTCGATGACCTCACTTCAATTAAGTTCGTTAGTGACTGAACTCAGTTGCCTCCTGTCAACTGTGAAGGCATTCCTCGGTAGGTTCCTGGCTTGCTTCAGCAATAATGTTTTACCTCGAGAACATGAAAGATATGATTACGAGAAGCCATTGAGAGAAGACTTCAGCACTTATCCGTAAGGATGCAGTGCCTCAAATCACTCGGCCTTAGTAAGAGATGAGCGTGCCTATATACTGACAGTTGGCAGAAAATATAGTACGTACTCCATGTCCACTCTCTTGGAGTCCCTGCTTCTAATCTGGTCATCCTCAAATTTTTTTGTTATCAGGATGTACAGATGCAGAGGAGAATATTTAGATTGTACACATTGTAAATTCAGTTCATGTAGGGCATGCGAACGGCAGAGTAAATGTTTTGTACATGAGTTAGAAATTTGTTGCTGTAGAGTATCACTACTTCTGCCTGCATTGCAGATGATCTCGACTGAGAGAGAGAAGCCGGAAATGTATTGTACTCAGAGGGCTAAACTTCGTCAATAACATAGGATGACAGAGAACACGGGTAGGCAGATTCATTCAGTACTCAGATCTTGCTTGGTGGACTGGACATCTGCACTACCAACGTTGAGATAGCACACTTGAACAATACGCGCTAGGAGGACTACTTTTTGTGACGGAAATCAGTTGGAAGTTCTTATGTTGGTTGGAGATGGGATGATCTGTTTTTAATTCGTGTGTGCGGATAGAGGTGAAGATTTTGAGACAGGATGAAATGCGTTTTATAGTTTTCCATTGCCTGCAATCTCTGAAAGGCTTATGACAGATGCAAGTCTTGTTCTTTGGGAATCTAATTGCTGAAGTCCTCTCGCAACCAAGGAGGCAAGAACCCCCTGGTTGCAAAAGCGTAGTGCACCTTTCCTTCTCCAGCAAATTTCTCTCGTTTTCGAAATGCGTTGTCTACCCTCTCACTCATACAAGTATTAAGCGATCTGCGAATGAGAGGCGCAGGGTAAAGTCTGTAGTTACGGATACCGCGTCGAGCTTCTCACAAATACCTTCGCTCTCTTACACTAGTCGGGTGTCGGGGTGAGTTTCTATTTACTGTACTACATGGATGGTTCGGTTGCTTATACCGGGTCGTGGTCGGTTTGGGATATAGTTTTTGTAGTTATAACGTAGTCAGCATGATTTTTCTTCTTTATTGCCAAGCTTGTTAGCATGACACTCCTTACTTTCTCTCTTACTCTCATCCACTGAACAGGAATGGTGTAGATTTAATTTGGATTGTTGAGACGGTCGTTGCTCGACACTCTTCGACGCTCAGATAATCTGAAGTGTTGGGTCGAATACAATTTCAACAGTAATTCCACATGTGCAGTTGTAGTTACAACATGAGTACACACTTATTTTGCAGTTTGCTGTATTTTAGTAGCATTTTTCCAAAACATACTTAACATTTCATCCTAACTCCCATCCCATGGAATTTCGGAGAGTATAATGTGAACTTCAAAATAGCACGCATCAAGGTACGCTACATCAAATGGCAACAAGAGTACATACTGTCTAACAGGTAAAAAATTTCAAGAGACAACTTGTACGTCAATACGACAACATTCTATCGTTACTTTTGCTATTGCACTTTTTTCTGTTCATCATGCACGATAACACTGTTTCAGATGAATTTTTTATTACCTTCGGTTGATTAGATTCAGGAAACTAATTAATCATTACAACATCTCGTATTACTTGTTAACTCAAAATATATTAAAACGATCCAAATAGTTCATTGTATTACAACGTGTCTATAAGGAGAACACAGCAAATAAATGAAGACCTCCTGTTGAGAAAGAAAAGTTGTCATCAATGAGGAAAGTAGCATGTACGGACATATTGTCCACAGTACATCTCAAATGCGAATGCAACCAGTGATGAGATGAAAAGTCAAGGATAATAACAAAATATCGTGTCAAAGATCATATCATAGCGATCTATCAAAAGGTTGTGTAGGTGACTCGTGCTTGCGTGACTTGGGGCATGTGACTAACAGGATCCGGAAAGCGGTACGACGATACAGTTCATCGCAACTCATGCGGACAGTAGTCATCAACAGTCCGGAGAGCGTCATGTAACTTCATAGTCAGAAGAGCCCTTGTGAAGAGCTACTTTGGACAGTTAAATATTATGCTACGTGAGGACTCTGCCTAAAATGCCTAGTGGGCATTCTGATTTTCGGCATACTTCTGAATATAAGATTACGAGTACAATTTTCAAAATAGATTATGTTGCACGTGGATCGTATCCACGTGATTCACTTATGAAAGAAAACATGTTAATAGAATGAAGAATAATACCTCAACATTTGTAATAGATAAAATTAGCTTTCCTAAACATCCAATGGCATCTATAACATTCTCGATAATACTATTATAAGCATTCTAGTACTACCGAGGTTGACGGTTTCATGTGCCTCTTATTACACAATGATATCAACGAGATGACTCTGACTCGAGATGCCCCTTTTTTCCAATATTTTTCCAATAAGAACATATATTCCCCTTTTAACAAAGAACAATGCTCAACTTTAGAAGTTATGACTTGTCATTTTTTTCTCAAGGATTCAACCTATGTCTTATTGGATGTGCAACTCGTACAATTTATATAACGCTTACACCTATTATATTCATAAATCGTTGGACTTTTTCTTGGTTCATAGATTCAATATTTTCCTTGTCACAGTATTCGAAGATACTATATATTATTCTCGCTATTCCTTCTTTCCAGTCCTATGTTGCGTCCTCTGGAAAATCGATGTCGAGCTATATTTACTCAGAGTCTTTTATCGAGGGTTTCCAGTTAACCTCTAGAGGTTTCATACTCGCTCTTCCATTGTCCAAGATGAGTTTTGGAGTAATAGCGGTGCGGGCTGTCTTTAAAATAGTTCCTGTTTGGTGGGGTTCGATAGAGAAAGAAAGATGATGCAGAAACAAGCTGTTAATGACGAGGAAGTGACGGAGTAGGAAATCGACAATGAACACTTAGTGCCCCCGAGGCATGCCCAGAGAAAACGTCGTTGCACCTGTCGGTGACTAGAAAGTCTGGACCCTCCGTCTTCGTGACGAAATCTAAGGACCGAAAAAGCGAAATCGAGATTTCTCTCCCGCTATCGAACTTCCCCATGCGAGATGGCCGTTCCCCTGTGCACCCACCAAGCTGCGAACACCAAGTCGCTACGCACTCAACTTCAATAACGAGAAGACAAACATCTCGGAAAACGTCAGCGCAATCTGCAGCACTGGCGAGAATGAACGGAAACAGAAAATCGCTGCCGTGCCATCGAAGACAAAGTGGCCCGCATGACATTCACCTTCTCCGAAAGGCAGCCATCCTCTCGGGGACGCAGAAGATGAAGAAGGCGTCACTCAAGCAGTCACTCCAGGTCCTGCAGCTCCCGCGGTCCCGGTCGACTTACAGGCCATGAGATGCGATGACCCAGGTACTGGGTCTCTGACAAAAGGGTACCCTTTGCGGATGCGGATGAACATTCCGGCCTTTGCTGCAGAAATTCTAATATGCAAGTCGACACCTGTCAGCCACGAGTGCACAGACATGCACTCGCACAGACACACGCACTCACTCACCGTCAGTTGATCTAGCCAAAAGCTCAGTTATGAGCTCCGGCTTGAGAATACTGTACCGTATGAGGTGAGCGGCTGCGGGTGGAGAAGACTGTATTGATCTAAGAGAGTTTCTGTGGGACGGCTGAGCGAAAAGCAGATGTGAGGTTCGGGTAACAACACGTGACTGGAGCTCGTTTCGAGAGAGCTTGTTGGTTGGGAGTACTGTGGCATTGAGGAGCAGAGAATGACGCAAGGCAGTTGCGAAGGCACGGGACTGTGCGACGGCCATCATCGACTCCACGGATCCTAAGTAACGCAAAATTGACTTGACACACATGTGTGCAAGTTTCTGGCAACGGCACTCCTCGACGCGAAATTCATTTGGGTGTCGGTAAAGAATCCCGTCCTTCGATTACTTCCCTCGTGCATGTCTTTTATACGGGGAGTATTTGATAATAAGTGGAGCCACTAAAACCAGCAGATCGACTTGCCATCTGAGCCGTGCTGAACAAGCTCAGCACGGGGGCACAGTAGAGCTCCTTTCCACCACTGGCTCTCGCACAGTCCTGGAGGTCCTTTTTGTCCCCTCGTGTACATTTCTCTTTACTTGAAGGGGTCCCACGGATCCGCTTTGAAATTGCTCGGCCAGCTGACTCTGGTCTCGGACGTCTATTTTCCAGATGAAGGGAGGACAAGGTCAGTGGGGCGGGGCTTAAAGAGCTTGTACAAATGAATTGGTAATTATATACTCGGACTGAAGGGAATTGAGGTCGAGTTGAGCCACGGTGTTTCAAAAGCCTTGGGGCCCGAAAGGTCACGGGCTCCGGGAGGAGTAGTGCACGGACACGGGGGTTTATGGCAGCAAAGTAACATGCCTCTAGTGTTCGAGGGTCAGGACTAACGACACACACGGTTGAGATGGTGGAGAGATCGGAAGGAGAGCAATTATTTCGGGATAACAGAGATCATGCGCTGCGCTCTGATTGTTCTCTTTGAATCGATTCCTGCAAATCGTGACTGTCTTTCTTTACGAGGATGACGAGAAGAACGTCACTCCATCCGCGGGAAAGGCGTGGGTGGCTCGTGCCGGTCACGCTGTGCCCTTCAGCTCGCTCACTCGCACTTACGCAGCGATCTTCAAAAAAACGATTCAGCTCGAAAATGTCGTACCACTCGATGCTGCACAAAGTCAAAATCTCGGGAGCCTCACAGGGGCAAAGATTGGTCTCCGGGCGTGCACTGAAGACAAAGAGTAGCGCTGGAATGGTGAGGTGGGTTCACATCAAGCAAACCGTCCGTGAGGGATATATTATTCTCGTAAACGTAAGCACTTTCGTCGGTGACTGTTTTTCTGCTGTAGGTCCTCGACCTACAGCAGAGGATCCCTCCTCAGCCCGTTCTGTGGGTGGACAATAACGAGTGCCAAGACTTGTTACCAGCGATCAATGACGAGCCTCGTCAAGAGCATCGACTCCACAGGTGCTCCATCTAAAGCATGGAAAATTCGAGCACCTCTTTGCACTTATCGAGGCTACCCGGTGAAGATATGAACTGAGGATTGGGTGTTCTCTTTCGACTGGACGGCCCAATTTCTGCCGACACGAAAGATTCCGGTGCCTGTGTTGCACTCTGTTCCTAATGTGATGAGAAAGCGCTCTACTTGTTGGGGATCTACTTACGTAAGCTTTAGAGATCGCCATCGTACTATATGGCGATAGGGCAAGGAGAGACAACATTCGTGCCTTTCGGGGTGTTGGTGTGCTTTGTAGCAGCTACGTCTCCACGACAAACTACCAGATCCTTTCCAAAGTGCGGAGTGGTTTTAGCTTTTGCACCAAAAGCTCGAGTAGGTCTAGGGTCAGCTACGAGGATTGGCTTAAAATGGAGGAAACGAACCTACGCCATAGAAGCTACTCAATAAATCGCTGCTCTCAAAGGCTGCCATTCCTCCATTATGCCATGATATCCCTACAGATTCTGCAAGAAGCTCGCCCAGACATCAGATGATCAGACATGTGGGAAAAGTCGGTCCGCCCTATCGGTAGCCCCAGACTAGGACGAAGACCTCAGGCATCGAGGGCGTCTCATGTGCAATAGACCATAAAGTCCCGGCATCCGAACAGAGTGCTTGCAACGAAGCCAGGATGATCGAAGCACGGTTGCATTGGAGAAACGTGCATGCCTTGGACTAGTCAGTCCCTAGCCGGGCTCGGAGTCCACTCTGACTCTCCAAGAGGCGAAGTGAGATCGTAACTAATCCACTGGATAGCTTCAATTTGGAATAAACAAATCGGGCCAAACACGTGTGACTTGGAGGAAGAAAGTCCCATGCACTTTAGTACGCACCGTGACCTGTCGAGGAGGGAGCATTCATTAGTCAGGTTTTACACTCAGGAACGAGGAACACATCATCGATCGAGAACGGGAGTTCTTAATCTGGAGTCTATGTTCATTGTACACAAAACACAACCAATTGAATGTACTTTACCAGAACTGTGAGTTGACACCCTGAGTTGACAACATCGCTGGAGAGTGAGGACTCTACTCATTGGAATTGAGTGATTCCGAGAATTACATTTAGATCCACATTCGACACGAGATATATAATAATTTGTTCAAGTATGTGTTTTTGTTCTTGGCATAAACAACGACGAGATCCTGGCATACATTTAAATATGATTTTGGAGGATACTCCATTCTCCAGAGCAAATTGTACGAACACTCGGTGGCTTAATTAGTGCAAGTGCTGCACCAAGCGATTTACTTCAAGATTGCCTCAGATTACTTGAAAGCAGTAACAGCTTTCTGGCCCCCGAATATGGGGAAGTACAATCTCTGTGGACACACATTTGCTGGAACCAGGGCAAAGGTTGTGGGATCCTCGTGCTCTTCGTGCGCTCCACAGGAAGGAAAAGCAAGCGAAGTCGGATCGCGCGGTTCATAAGAATGGTAAAGGCTCTTGTACGAGGTAGTTACACGTAAGTCGGTAGGTAAGGCAGACCCCAATTGTTTGTGTTTTGACGGCATCTAGATGACGAAGGGGTGCCTAAGTCTAACTGATTCTAGCCGCTCCTGCTGTATGCGAACACATCTACCTTGGTAAGGACAGTAAGCTTTTCTTCCTCAGACTCTTTATTTCAGAGCTGTCGTGGAAGTTATGACCTAGAAGAATTCTCTCTACTCTGCAAAAGTGACGAGGCTTGCAGCAATAATTAGCTCTATATACAAGCGGTCCAACGTCCTGAACGCTTTACTTCTCGGAAATTACTAAAACTCTCCCCGGTAGCGAGGCAAAGAGACAGCCACATGAAAATTGAGGGGGCTAGGCCTGGCTAATTGGGCTGTCTGTCTGTCCATCGGTCTTGCCCATGACTGAAAGAATGAGCTACTGCTAAAATCTGTACACACTGCTGCCAGGGCCGGTCTGGATATGAAGCATTCGGTGAGACCCCGTGGCATTCAGTTCGTAACACAGCAATGGTATACCAGGGAAGCAAAAACTCGAGAAGACTTCGATGAAGAAGAAAACCATACGCTGTAATCTGCCTCTGTGCACCTGTGCAGCAATGAGTAGGTGCCGCAGTCAAAGTCATGAGAGCTCTGTGCGTTGCGGCCCTGATATTGCACAACTGACAACTCCTGTCCCCATAGACAAGAGGAATGCGTTCGCAGCGATCCAATCCTGAGACCGGAAACCTCGAAGGTTGTCCACCCAAATAGACCGGCAGCTCGCACCATCCACTTCCGAATCCCGCCCTCGAAGAGTGTATCGTCAGCAGAACAGTAGAACTAACAGAGTAGTAATACTTTACAGCTCGGGACACTAAAAAAATGTACAATAGATCTCACAACAGCTCCCACTCTAATTTGCCAGCCATATCACCGTCCTTCACCTCGAATATACTCCGCGTGTAATCTCTGAGAGCGGTGTCGTTCATGAAGCAGTGGCTATGCTCCCAATTCTCGGGTTTCCGACCCTCGGGACCTACCCCATCCGGCCTATCCCGAGAATTCAGATTCTTGGGCTCCTTCCAATCCACGACGTACGTGGAGGCACGCTTGGTGAACTTGGTCTCGAACTCGCTCCAAGCTTGAAACTTATAGTGGTTGATCACGGCGTGCCGGGGATCGATGTACATCGTGGTGTACTCGGGCATTAGCTCGAAATGGTGAATCACATTGGCGATGGAGGGCTTCAGGGCACTGAGCAGAACCAGCGACTTGTGTCTCTGCTCCCTCTGATCTCTACAGGTGTACCCCTGTGTCACACCTCGGGGCGGATGCTCGGTCAGCCCCGAGGGACCGAAATTCCGGCAGAAGATCGAGACCTGGCCTAGGGTCTGGACGATTGCCTTCGGTCTGAGGAGCTTCGTCCTCAGGATCACTTTCCCGAGTGTGTCTTCGATGAGGTGCCTGAAGGCGCTTCTCGGGAAGGGGTTTGCCATGGCCAGCGGCGATTTGGGAGGAGACGCAGGGTCCCCAAACTTGGGCAGCCAGTGCTTGGGGAAGACGTACTCGTCCACATCGGCGAACAGAACCCACACGCATTCCCTCTGCGCCCGGATGATGCAGTGCGAGAATCCGGCCTCCTGAGTCTTGACCCACGGCCAGAGATGGCGTGTGACGTTGTACTCGTGCAGGAGCGCCACCACGGGCTCAATGTCGTCCTCGCTGTTGTTGTCGTAGAGGAAGAATTTCTCCACTCCCAAGTGCGAGTTATACAAGACCCATTCTTTCAAGAACTTGGCCGAGTTCCAGACCATGGTGCACGAGCAGATGAGATGCTTCTTCCCGTGGGGCTCTGTGGGTGGAGCCAGCACCAACTCCTCGTCGGCCAGCATGCCTTTCCTAGGCTTCGATCGATCGTAGTACGCCACCGAGGGTATCAGGTGCCCCTGGTAGCGCAGGTAGACCTTTTGCCTGAGCACGTCCTTGGCCCCAAATTTCGGGGTGACGCACCTGTAGACTTCCTGAGCGCCCGAGGTGACTTCCGTCTCGATTCCTCGCCCAAAGACGCACTTGAACGAGTGCAAATTCGAGTAGTCCCCGAGTTTCCTCTTGTCGAACACTCCCTTGACGAAAAGGATCACGTCTTCTTTTGTGGCGACCACGGCGTAAACCAGGGGAGCATCCCACCTCGCCGGGACTTCGTACTCCAGCTTGCTCCGCAGAGTTCCGCTCTCACCATCGTCCACCTCGATGGTCACGTTGGTCACCGTGAAGTTTTCTGTAGCAAATTCCGCAGGCCTCAAGCATGTGACTGCCAGTCTTCCGTCGACAAAATCCGCGTTCAAAATTTTGGAAAGAAATTGACTGTCGCCATACTTGCATGACGTGAGCCTGTCTCGGAGCGAGAAATCCAGAAACTGCCGAACGAGAAATAAGTCCAATCTCTCCGGTAGAGAGATCATGTCCTCGATATAAGGCTGCTGCTCATCGGCTCGATCAGGAAGACTTTCTTTCAGATTGGCAGACCCGAACTTCTTCACTCTTATGCTTTGGTCGTCGTCTTCGGGCTTGTTTGCGTCCACTCGCACCGTTATCGACTGGCGCTCCGTTGTGATAACAGGTCGACCGGGCTGGAACTCCTGCCCCACTCTCAGATAGTTCAGGCGCAGCTGCTGCTGAGATGACACCAGCTTCCTCGGATAAAATAGAGCAGCTGCGATCACAAAGACACGCCCACGGAATCAAAGAGTTATTCGCTACATCTGCCACACGAACTCGAAATGCATAAAGTGGGACGCAATGGGAGCGCCAGTGACAAGTTCCGACAGCTCATTGTCTTTCAAGCATTCTCCCTTCGCGTCGACTTGCGTCAATTCTACCCAATTTCGAGGATCGAGGTCGGAGGTCTGACACCTAATGTGCATCGTCATGAACCGAGACTCTTCCGATCCGCTGATCTGAACGTGGGCTACGGGGAGCCGTACAGTGTTATCCGATAGGAACCAATGTGCGAACTAAATTCTGAGCTTTACGGTCGCGCAGTCAATTAGTCGTCTCCATAGCGCTTCAATTAGTCGTCTCTGCATACTACTATCAGACTGAACGCAGTACGTCCGATAAGTCTGGAGAGTCTCCTCTCATGCTAACCATTCCTCTGACTTCGCATAATAAACAACCTTATCCTGACCACATGATTGGTGTCATCCGAGAGGAAAGAGTCGCAGATTCATCGGCAAGAAACTCGTCGGTCACGACGAGGCGAGATCAGGGTCACAATCAGTACAGGACGCATTAGAGTGAGTACGGAGTGTTCTCGGGCGAGTGCACTCCCCCACACGTGTTGACAGTAATGTCGCCCCATAATGCCCAACTAGAAAGTATCGCCTCTAAGAAAAAGGAGAAAAGCTATGGTCCGTCGGCACCAGAGGACGAGAAGAGATCAGCTGAAGGCTTGGGATCAGTGGACTGGAAAATCGAGAAACGAGTGCGGGCAACGCCAGTGAGGAGCACCGCCGGGTGCTTCCAAGGTCATACAGCTGCAATCATGACGAGCCAAGCTTGATATTGGGGTCAGAGAAACAAGTACCTGAGAAGGTTTCGCGGGCGACAGATGACACTGTCAGTAGGAATCCGATAGCCGCCAGACTGAAACATACTCGCTTCACCCACCAGAGAGTGCATCCGACAGAATCCACGAGCTTCCTATTTCCTCCTGGGCGTGTGACGTGCTCCATTGACAGACGAGCAAACGATCGCTCTCTCCGGATCACGGGCTCATCCCCACTCCACCCCATTTTGGGTGTATATCTCGAGCTCAAACCTAAGGATTTCGAATGGAGTCAGTGCCACAGACGGTCTCAGAGGTTTTTTACTTTTATTCAATAGAAGTTTTTCCAATGGTCAATAGAGATGATGGGTCCAAGTCGCTCCAAGTGCTTGCGAGGCTTCCACAATCCTTCGACACTTGAGCTCGACTGCGCGAGACTTTTCTATCCTGCGCGTCATTGAGCCTGTCACTGGCGACCTAAACACCCACACGGCACTGGCATTCTTCTCGTCGAAGAAATCGCTCAATGCAACCTCCCTGCCCACAACATCGTACTCCGAGACCTGGACGATGTTCGGGCGGCTTCCGGGCCGAGGGAGCAACCCAGGGAGAACCGAAAGACCGCTATTCTTCTCCAACTACAACGTCCTGTGCTTTATCCCGAGCCGGTTCTGGCCCATGGCACAAGCTGTGAGAGCTCGAGCCTGAGAGGGGACGGTGGCTGGCGAAGGCAGGGAGCATTCACGACCATACGAATCAGCTATCGTCACACTCCTCCCTTCCACGACCACGGCTTCCGCCACTAGATGGAACCCAGAGCACCGAGGAACAAGGAAAGGGAGGATCGCTGCGTCGGCCCAACAGTACTGTGTCTTCTCTGATCGCAGGATTCGCCGGGCAAGGCTTTATCATCACCTGCTGCCGAGCTACCTTCGATGCCATGCAAGGCGAGCAAGCGGAAAAAGAACAAGGAATGGCAAAATGCTGCAGTGGAGGAGGTCCTGGTGCTTGCTTCTACAGCGCGAGGGCGGAGGGGAGCTCCACGCTACAGAACAGCCGAGACCCGACAGAAGGGCGTGCCGAATGATGTGCCGATGGAATGTGAGACGGGATGCGACAGGCCATTCGCCAGCCCCGAGGCAGGCGAGCGAGCTAGCGAGCGAGCGAACAAGCAAGCGAGCATCCAGCAGGAGCCGAGACTTCCTCCTCGCCGGACGCCCTGCCCTGCCCTGCCCTGCTCGTCCCTCGACTCCCAGTTGTGGACCGGGCGAGCAAAGCACACTCTGCCAGCTCGGAACGAAAGCCGCAGGAAGAAGGCGACCGGGGCGACGTAAGACGAGCGGCTGCAAAATCGGATGTAATAAACCCCCCTTCCCTCTCCCTCCCGCCCTTCGGAATCCTTTCTCCGGTCTGAGCTTCAGATTGTAACCCCCTCTAGTACCCACGTGCCGGCTTCGGAGGCAGCGAGCTCAAGCCTCGACTGTGCGGGCATCGCTCCTTACGAGGGCTCTTGTTTTCTACCCCCACGGCTCCTCGAGCCCCCCACCTCCTCCTGCTCCTGCTCCTCCTCCTCCACATCAGCCTGGCATCGCGACGCTGGCTGGCGCGATGGCTGGCTGGCTGGCTGGCTAGATGACTGGCTGGGCCGGGCGCCGCGCTTCGTCGCCAGCCCTTTGTGTCCCGGGCGGACCGGAAAGAGGGAGTGCCTCCTCATCTGCAGCGTCGGACTCCCGCCCCGGCCATTGGTGGACCGCGCCGTGCGTAGACCATTCTTCCTCTCCCTCTCTCGCTCTCCTTCCTTCCATCGGCTCCGGTCCAGCCTGTTCGTTCCCGCCGTGACCGACCGCCCGCACAGAATTCTCGGAATTTTCCCGACCCTTCTTTTCGATCTTTCGCTCCTTTTGACCTTCCCGGCCTCTCCCCGGCCTCTCCCGGCTCTCATTTTCCTTTACGGAGTTCACGGGTTACCTGGAAAGGTGCACACAACTCTCCGCGAACGGACTGTGATCCGTCTTTGGGGGAGAATCTTCTCCTTCACTCTGCCCTCCGGAGAAGGAAAAGCCCGATGCAAATTATACAAGACGAGGAGCAGCGAATCAATTTCCTCTTTCGGTCCTAATTTATCAATTTAAATCTTTACGTGTACCAGCTTTATCCCAGCAGATAATGAGTCACTATTTCATTTCCAAGGCACACGGACATGCCGAGTCAATAACCGAGGTCTTAATTTACACTTACCATCTGTAAGAAAAAAGATTCGCCCACAGGAGTCGGGGCGACTGCAATGAACTCACTTATGTTGCCAAGTCTAAAACAAGGGAAATTTGCCAAGTCCGAGGAAGGGCTTCATGTTATATATGGCTCAGAGTAGAAAAACGTGGTTCATATACGAGAGCACACACGAAACCACACTCCGTGGACGCTGGGCACTGCAGTCCACGACATCGGGGCGACCACGTCCTACGTCCGGTCTACAGTCACTGAGTTCCCCTGGCCAGCAGAAATTCGCAGGATGTTGAAGGCCGTCATTCCCAGTCGTCCTTTCCTTTGGTCTCTCGCCGCTGCTGCGCGAACGCCGTCGCTGTCTTCGCAAAATCTTTGCAGTTCTGAGCATATGATGAGGAAAGGGTACAGAGTTCAGTTTCCTTGGATCCTCGCAGACTGCAGTGCCGTCGTGGCTGCAGCGCATCGGTCGGGTCGACGATGGCGCCTGCCAATGTCTGGCGCTTGTCTACTCCGACTGTTCCCACTCAACGTCATCACTCCGTGTACCGGATCACGCCTTCCGTCGCCTTCCAGTCCTCGGCAGCAGTCCCAGCACTGGACCCGGTCCACGGTGGACCGCCACGTCGTCAACCGCAAATAACCTCCAGCGCGTCGACACAGCTTCATTCTGTCGCTACTCTACGTTAGTCGTCCCGAATCAAGCGTAACTTCACGAAGGGTCGCGTTTATTTGAGTGGTGTATGACAAAATCCATATGTCCATTCGAGAAAACTCATGAACAATAATTTTCTATCTAAACGCGTTGTGACTTGAAATTGGGCTTTAATTATGTGTATTTCAGCGACTTTGGTCGACGCATTTCTAAGACTCCGTCACCCGTCAAACAGAAATGTACAAATGGAATCGAACCGAAGTCTAATGTGTCCGTCCATGGCCAGGAGTCGCCCTTACTTTCTCGACGCAGTAATTGAAAAGGTCACGGAGCACGCAGTGGCGAACAGCTCTCACGGTACTGTCACGGTGTCCCGCGAAGAGGGCAAGTTTCCCGTCCTACGAGAGCCCCATGCACAGTTTAGGCATTGACTGCAGTCGCCTAGTCAACCGGGTGAGATAAACCCCCTCCCCGCAGTACAACGTAGCGTCAGTCTCAAGAACATCGATTTGCGAACAGTCCACAGTGGATGGGCCACACAGACAGTGCGAGTCCACTTGCTCGGAGCTGCGTTATCAGAAGGCGCTGCTTGCTTGTACGGCCATACCGTCGACCTTGTGAACCCGGTACAGTTACGGGTTCGAGTACCGGCGAAAAGCAGAGTAAGCTTTGGCCGGGAGCATGAAAATAGATTCGCGGGTACCGTACAAAGTGTACACCTGGGCAGAACCGGGGGAAGAGGTGGTACCCGTGAGCTTTTCCTGATACTTCTCGCGATGTTTGATCCAGAGGTTTAGAACCCGGGTTAGTTGCTCCCTGTTCGGGACGATGGCTCCCGTGCCTTCGGCGGTACTCGGGTTTGAAGTAACCCGCGCCTAGAAACTCCCGACTCGCAGAACAGCGCTGTCTGGTCTTCCCGCGATCGGGTAACAACGGATGTTCTTTAGATTTGGCCCTGGCTGTACTGAATTTCGTTACGATTGCGCACCGCACAGCAGCGGCGGGATTCGTTTCGTTTCTTGGATCGGCCTCAGAGTCTCATTTTTTATCGTGCTTAGATAAATCATTCATGACATTCATCGTAGAAGATATTAGTTTTTATGATTTTTTATACCTCGCATTTGCTCGAATCCATAATGTGCTCGTGGACAGGGAACTCGGAACTGCGCACGTCAAGGTGAGACTCAATCTGCTGTCTTGATATTCGCAGAGATGAGATTAGCAGCAACTTCGCTAATTTCGGGCTGAGTTGAGCATCGGACGCCATGTTTTCATGTGCTTGTTAACTTCTTAGGCTCTTGTAATCGAAATTCTTTGATCCCTTGCACTTTCCCACGGAGACTCAATTCTGTAGCACTTTTATTAAATTCTAAAATCAGTGCAGGATCCTCTGCGAGATTTGAATCATTGGCCTTTGTCGCCTTTTGTCTCTGTATGTTTTATGGGTCTAGCGATCCCGTTTTCATTCCGTGATGTCCATTCTTCTTATTTTGAGTGGGAACCATGATAGACAGCACCGACTGGAAAGAGATAAACTATTCTGAGGAATGCCTGTGCAGCGTACTCTGGTTGGATTGACTGCTAAGATCACATCAAATCAAGAAATTGGAGCAGTGTTCAGATGACTTCTCAGCTACTCAAACTTCCTCCTTTGAACTACATTCTATTGCGTTCGTTCCAAGATTTCACCATGCAGCCGCAATGTATATTCAAATCATCCAATCATGCAATCCAGACCTGTTTCTCCGAATCTGGATCGATAATTGAGTCTGCTCCAGTTGAGTCGAGCAAGTATGTACTTCCCAGTATTCTATGCCAAATAATTGTGCTGCTGCAAATCCGTGACCCTTGGGATATCCGTGAGTAGGTAGCACACGTGGTAGGTAAGTATTGGATTAGCTTCTCGAGAAACACTGTAAGAGATACGTCTGTTCTTGTGATCTATGGCGAACGGGGGCAAGTAGATAACCCAAAAGGACGGCAAAATCCCCCAACAAAACTGCGCCTGTCTTAATTTGGGAACTTCAAAACTTTGCGATCGATCGCACCAAAATAGAACCGAGGTTTACAGTAACATTCCTTGGGACAGACAACGGTAACGTGTCCCTTCTACAACAAGGCCAAGCTGTACTGTATGACCATTCGAGCTCTTAATCACCTCCGAAAAGAGAGATTTGTAACTACTGCACTGAAGAGAAGTGACCAACTGTAGTGTTCGTCAAATCACTGCATTGCTTGCGATGACTGAACGGTTATGTCGTTGAAGACAATAAGCACATTGGGTAGCATCGATGTAAGATTGGTGTTGCACTTAACGCAGCTAGACAAATGTACTTACCGACTGCTCAGTAGGTGAAACAAAGCAAATATCTCATCCAAGTTGGTACAAAATCTGTACTTCAGGATCTATGTGCAGGTATTTTAATTGTTCGTGCGCAGGATTTTTTCTTAAGCTAATTGTACATCTTCTTTCTTTAAGGCAACTTGTTTACATGAAACCACTAGATACTGCAATCTAGAGTAAATCATTCAAATTGATGATTTTGAGTATGCCATATTATATGCAGAATCTTCAACTTACATATTTGCACAATGAAAAATTCTCCTTATGGTTTCATCTATGTTAGATCTGATGGGGTACTCTAGTCTTCTTTTTCCCTTTCATTTCATTGGATATATACAATCGATTCTAATACAAACAAGAAGTCAATCCCAAAAGACATGTAAAAGTAACCATATGAACCTCTTGTTAAGAACTGGAAACTTAAAAGTAGTTGTATAACTAAACTATGGTAAATTTCAGGACTTTCCTATGGGACCTCGTTCTTGATAGATATCAATCTAAAGTGGTTCATTGATGTGCTAGCGACTTCTATAATTTGGCATTAAACATGCAGAATACTACTGCGGACTCGAAACGTGAACAGCCTCTAAATTTGAATCCATGATTTAACCCTCAGATTCATCCTTTTCTTTCTTGAGTGTCAAACTCGAACTACAATACTCATAGCCTTCCTATAGCTTTCCAAGTTTCACTTTCACTGTCAGAACTTTAATTCTGTGTCAAGTAGACTTGGAGGTGAAGGTTGTCAGATGAGCTTTTGAATTGCTTTCAAGTCCTATTGATAGATAACATATCCGGATTCATCTTTCGCCCCTAAAAAGGTGAAAATCCCATCTTGAGGTTCAATTTGTAGTGAACGACTTGTTATTCTAGAATTATTAAATATTGTTTGCAAGTATATGTTGTGTATATTATAACTTATGTATTTGGTGTGTATGTTGTATTTTTTCACTTTATGTGCATGAAAAGTGTTTTTTGGATGGCTAAAATTGTTTTTTGCACAAATGAAAAGAATGAATCACTTTTGCAACAAGTCCAAATAATTTCATTTCTGTTTTTTTGTTTTTCATCCATAAAATATAACATGTGACATTATCATCTACAAGCTACTCGAAGCATTCATAAAAAAATCTGATCTGCTTCATTTCTATGTAGAAAATTCTAATATGTAATAATAGAAACAAGCATCAATTGCAAATTCTTTAAATTTAATGAAGTC